GAGAACCTGCTGTCTTAGTCTTTGCTCTTGTCTTAGTCTTGGCCTAGAGAAGAAGGCCAAGGCCAACGTGGCAGGAATATAATGGACAGAGGGGGAAGAAAAATAGGCATGGCCAGGGCACCTAGGGTCTGTGAGCCGCCTAATTAGATTTCATTCTTAAAGTAATGAGAAACCATTAGAAAAATTTTAAATAGAGAAGTGATTTTGATCTAATTTACATTTTTCATATTTTTATTTCTTGACTTTAACACAACATGAAGCAATTGTGCTAAAGAGTGTGGTGTTTGCCAAAAGTATAAACATATAGATAGTGAAACAAAATAAAGTTCAGTAAGTCCACATATATAGGACTCACTGATTTTGTGTGTGTGTGTGTGTATGTGTATGTGTATGTGTGTGAAACATACAAAACATAAAATTGACCACTTGAACCATTTTTAAGTTTACAGTTTAGGGCACTGAGTATATTGTTTTGTAGCTATCACCACCATCCATTTCCCAAACTTTTTTCATCTTATAAAACTGAAACTCTGTTAAACAATAACTCATTAATCAACTTCCCGTTTTCTTCTTCCCCCCAGGCCCTGCCAACCACCATTCTACATTCTGTCTCTATAAGCTTGAATATTCTAGGTACCTCAGTCATATAAGTACAGTTATATAGTATTTATCTTTTTATGTCTGTCTTTTTTCACTCAGCATGATACCTTCAAGGTCCATTCATGTTGAAACATGTGTCAAGGTTTCTTTCCTTTTTAGGGCATAATAATATTTCATTGTGTTGGGCCTCCCTGGTGGTGCAAGGGGTTAAGCGCTGCACTATGAAACAATCCACAGCCTCGGCAGCATGAGTTTGATCCTCGGCTGCCAGGGAGCAACCCACATGGCACAGCAGACCTCTCCTGACTTGCCTGCTGCTCCCCTCAGCAGTGTATTTCAGTCAGTCTGCCTGTTTTGTTCCCCACTCTACCCCAGTTCTTGTATGTATAAATAAATAAATCTTTAAAAAAAAATTCATTGTGTTTGTGTGTCACTTTTTTTTTTAACCCATTCATCTACTGGGGTTGCTTCCCTCTTTTGGCTATTGTGAATAATGCTGCTGATGGATTAATTATCTGATATGTTTGACTATTATTGAGGAGAATTTTATCATTCTCTCAAAAGGCTGGGGTTCTTAAAAACAAGGCAAACTAAAAATGTGATAGATACTAACTCCAGGAAAACTGAAAAGTTCAAGAAATTTAATTGTAATATACTATGTATCTGAGCAGAGTTAAAATGAATCAAAAGCTATATAGAAAACATAACAAAAATGGTGATATAATTTTTGGAGGATAGGGCAAGGGTTTGTGTGGGGGGAAGAATTGAGAGCTAAAACCTCACCTTCCAAAAAAGAAGTTAGGAAATAATGTCTAAAATTAAAAAAGAATAAAGTAGAAGTTGTACAAAGCTGTTGTTTGGAAGAAAATACTGGAAGAAATGGCTGAAAGAGTTAAAGATCATTGTCTCAAGGAAGTGCCTATTAGGGTTTGAGGGGATAGAGCAGGGGCCCACTTTTTGTATTTATGACTTCTGGTCAAACCCATCCATGTTTTGACCATGCACATCTATTACCTTGGTGAGACAAAACATTTTAAGAACACATGTTTGAGTGTGTTTTTAGCCTGATATGCAGATGCTGACTGCACAGGAGCAACTTTTGATTCCTTACCTGGCATGATTCTCTGTGTATATTGGGATGCCTTTGGGCAGCTGAGACCTGGGTGGACATCCTGCCAGTGGCTGATCTCTGCCACGTGTGCCAGATATTTTCCAGCAGTGTTACATAGATGCAGTCTGGCCATATTGATGCAGGCAGCATGAAGATCCTGCTGCCAAAGCCCCACGTACTTACCCCACCTCACAGAGGTCACCTGGGAGAGCCCCAGCAGAACTCGCTTAGTGGGGAGCAGGTGTGGAGTCAGAGGGACAGCTTATAGAGGTCAAAAGTTGGACACTAAGTCAAAGAGACCAAGTTTCTTTGGGTTGTTGGGACCTCAGTTTGCTTTTATTCACCTCTACTTTTAAGCACAATTGCCTCACGTTCTCAGGTAGTCCTCGCAGGACAGGACTTTGCCAGCACAACCAGGGACTGGTTTCAGCGTCTTATGGCATCTGGGCTTTGTTGTTGGAGGGGATGGGATGCATTGCCAAGTGGTCTCTCTTATTTGGGGAGTAGCCTTATACTCCCTCCCTTCTGCCAGTGAAATGGGCCTTTCATTCTCTCTCCAGGCCCAACCATGACTGTCTAGAAACTCTAGATTTATTACCCCAGATTTAGTTCCTGACAGTCACTAATGCCCTTCAAATTCCAGGGCTGCATTAGTCAGTGAAGCAGAAATTAAGAGGATGGTCTCTGTTTCAGTGGTGCATATGGTATTACAGGGTGGCATGATGGTGCAATAAAATGGAAGACTGGATATCTGTTTAAAATGTGCTTTGATGTTATATAAAAGCAAGATCACTTTTCAAATGGGGCTTACCTCTTTAAATAAAAATAACATGCCAGTTCAGTTAAAGTAGAAAGCGCTTTTCAATCAAATGTTAGGGTTTTTTAAATCTAATTAAGCATGTATTTTAAAAAAAGGGAAGGGGGTGAAGCCATCTATAGGAATTTGAGTTGTGTAATTTGGGTCCCAACAAATTCAGAAGTTTATAAGTCCTGATATTCCTTAGGGCAAAAACAGTTTCGTTCACACTGTTAACAAAGCTGGGAACTGAATGGATTCTAGGGTACCATATTATAAAGAATCAGTAACTTTGAAGAACAGAATAACAGGAAGATCTAAGCTTTTATTTTTTAACATTTTCAAGGGACAGGTTTATTAGGAAAAGGAGAAAGGAAAAGAGAGACATCTGCTTAGATACAGATAATCAGTCTTGGGAGAGCTGCATTTTTCTGAAGATCTAATCTTTAGACTAAAGCAATTGCTAGAGTTTATGTGCTGTCTCACTTGGTCATAAACTTCCCTGTGGAAATGGATACTGGTATCATCCCATCTCACAGTTGTGTAAAGTGAGGACTAGATAAATAAGTTGCCCAAAGCCTGGAAGCTGGTCGCTGCTGCAGTCAGCATTCACGCATAGGGCTGTCATATGTATACCTTCCTGAATGAGTCAGGACTCTTGTAAGTGACAGAAATCAATTCTGCCTGGGTTAAACAGAAGAGATGTATTGTCCCGGAGAACTGGGTAGATTTGGAGTCCATCCTGGCTCTGTCAGATGGTGTCTCCATTTCTTCTTTTCTTATTGTCACATAAGACATCTCTTACGGGATGTCTTATTCTGCCTGTTGGGTGGGAGTAAAATGGGGAGGGGGGATGGGAGAGGAGGGCTTTATTCAGCTTCAGGCCTACATTTTCCCAGTTTCTTGGGAATCCCTGACAGTGTCAGGGCATTAGTGACTGTTAGAGGGAAGAGCTGATTGTCCAGCTTGGACCATATGCCCGTTTTGGGGCCTCAAGCACTGTGGCCAGGAGGAAGGCAACTGACTGATATTGTCTCCATCAGACTTACTTTGCCAGGAAGAGAGGTAGAGAGCAGTTCCTCCAAGGAGGGACTTACCCTGCAAAAGGTGGACAGGAGATTCTGAGCAAATTAAAGCGAAACCAAGGCACCTGCTTCTTAACATGTCTAAGAGTTTATCTCAACAGCTCACTGGACAGTGAGCTCCTAGACCCACCTCGCCAGCTGGAAATACTAAGTCCCTGGAAGCCCCTTGTGAGAGGGAGTAAAGGCAGAAATCCAGGGGAGGTCCCATGTGAGGCAGGACCCCATAGTCATCCCAGAGGGACTCAGAGCCCAAATAGAAAGACACTTGTTTTTACTTGAAAACTACAAATCTGGAAGAATAAGGAAAGCATCAATGTGAGAAGTACCCTTAGAATTATCTCTCTTTGGTGAACTGCTTCAATGAGTTTCAGATGCTTGTTATCATTAAGAGGGAATCAGAAAGTTGCATGTGTCAATAAGCTTGATCTAGATGTAAGGAAATAGTTATTTTGGGGGAAAGATTCCAAAGGGCCTGAGGTATAACCCCAGGCTGCCAAACTCTAGCCTGCTCTGTGTTCTCAGCAAGTGAATCAAGTTCTCAGACTTGCAGATGTAGGATGTGGGGGTGTTTCTGTCTTGAGCTATGAGAAAGGGAAACCTTCCATGGAAGGTGCAACTGACTGATCACAGCACAGAGAATTTCAGCTTCAGCTCCATGTGGCTTTTGCTAAGTCAGTTTGAGGAATGGTTCTCTCTATTCTGATCTTATTTTTCATAGAACCACTTTCACTCTCACTGATTCACAAGTGGGACCAGGGCAGAGAGCTTCCAGCAGTTTAAACCTCTCACTAATTGCTGTTTTTACCTGGTATGCTCTCTTCCTAATGGATTCTGTGGGTTCGTTTAAGGCTTTGGACTGTTGGCAGTGGGATTACTCAAAGCTTTAATTAAGTGCCTGTCTGTGGGGCCACGCGCCAGTTGCTGACACAGACACAGCCCCCTGAGCTTGGCCATGCGTGCCCATGGAGCTCCGTTCACTCTTCACCCTGTAATATATCCATGATGTAAGTTTTATAGACATTTTTTTGTGGTGTAATTTGATTGGGGTTTCAGTGTTTTAATTCTCCTTTCTGTGTATCCTATCCATGTATTACTTGGATGAGCTTATACCTGGAAATGGGCGAGGATGCTTCTTCAACTCATTCCTCAACACCATTGGTTTATTTCCTATTATATTTCAGTTCTTAAATCATCAGCCCTGTACACATCATTTATCACAGGAGAACGTATTTTTTATAGAAGAAGCTGCCTTCTAACAGGCAGGTAGCTAGCTGTCTGTACCTATAGACAATTGTGTTGTAGAATCGGTTTTGTCTACCTTTGGGGAGAATCTGTCTGACAGGTTTTCTCTGTGTCCTGTCCTTCAGGCTCAGCATTTCCCAGCATCAATTCAATTGCTCAACAAGATTCAAATAAGTGTTTATTGACAACTCCTGAATCTGTTATTTCCAGCTCTAAGAGTTCCTAGCTCACTGCTCATTCGACTTTGTGGATTGCTCCACTCCCCCACGTCCTGCTGGCAGTCTGTCCTTGGCTTGAGAGCAGTCCAGGTTTCTCTCTTTTTGGTCTCCCTCCATCTCTCCAGTTGCTTCCCTTGCTCAGACCTGGCTGGTAGTTGGCCTTGGCTGCCATGTGAAGTTGGAGTGTGCAGGTAAGGAGAGGCCTACCTAGGAACAAAAAACACGCAGGAGATTATCAAAAGCGGCAGCATCACCCCCTTTCTACTGCCCCCAGGCTAAGAAGAAGGCAGATGTGTTGTTCTGAATCTTGCAGGGGTTATAGAAATGGAGCACCTGCCACCACTCTGGGCTCAGACTCTGGTAACCTGTGTGCCTTGGACTCAATGGTAAGCCCTTCACATGTTTTCGAGAAAATTCAGGAGACTTAGTGACCTTAAGAACAATTCATTTTGAGTCACTAAGTAATTTCAAGGCAGCACCAGGTTCTGGAAATATGTCTCTCTGGTACACAGGTGGGTGTGACATAGCAGTCAACAGCCGTCAAGCAGCCCAGCTTTCTCCTCATGCAAGCCATGTGGAATGAGGCCCCTTTCCTTTTAAAGATCTTTTGAGGCTGTAAAGGGTTTTGAGGACATTTTATGGAACTGGAACACAGTTTCGTTATTTTAAATTATTATAGGGGTTATGGTTACTGAATCTTTATTTTTATGACAAGTTATTGGTTATGTCCTTGATTTACTTGATCCTGGGCTTTTGCTCAATAAACACAACCTCCAATTAGATGTGGTTACTGTGGCAAAAATAGGATTTTCCTTAGAATGACCCGCCTTGGGGCTGTTTCCAGAAACTCATTATGGTGAAAAGTCAGGGCTGCCTATTCATGTTCATGGGCATTTCTTCTGTGGTTACTTGGCTTTCCCATATGGAGGATTAGCTAGTACTAAGGCTGTGGGTGGACCCAGAGGAGAATGGAGAGACAGGAAAGAATATGCCCCCAGTGGCTAAGTGGGTCACTGTTTAGAGCTATACTACTTCAGAGATGGAAAGGACCATTAAAAACCGCTGTCTCTTCAATAAAAGAGGGAATTACAATGTAAAGAGGAAACCAGGAGTTGGTTCCCACTCTCAGGCAGTCCTTCTGTACCACTGACTCTCCCAGCCTTGTCTGGGGCACATCAAGGAGCCAGTTCTGCCTTCCTGAGATAATTCAGAAGGCTGTGAAAGAGATCTTATATACCAACTGGCTTAAACAATGGAAATTCATTTCACAGTTGTAGTGGCTGTAGGCACCAGCAGATTCAGTATCTAGTGAAGCAGGTTCAGTGTCTAGTGAGGGCCCACTTCTTGGTTCACAGATGGCTGTCTTTTCACTGTGTCCTCATATAGTAGAAGAGTTGAGGGCGACTTCCAAGGTCTCTTTTTCCCCATTCATGAGAGTTCCACCCTCATGACCTCAGCACCTCCCAAAGACCCTGTTCTAACACTTCCTGATGCCATCACATTGAGGAATTGGTTTCAATGTATGGATTTTGGAGAGACAGATACATTTAGTATATAGCACTGTTACTCTGAGGGAGTAACCCAAAACTGGTTTATGGTGTGGCCACATCTTCTGTGAACTCTGACTTTTTCCCAAAGTGGAAAGCAGATACTGCTTTAACCTAGAAGAGATTTATGGTCTATTAGAAATAGACACCAGTGGTTTGGGTTCTAGGTAGTTGACTCACTAAAAATTTGTACAAGAAAGGACAGAGAGACAACCAGTTAACTTGAAGACTTAGCATATGATTGGCTTTGTGTGCTGTCATGGATGCTGTGGGTGCCCTATCCATATACCCCCCCAGCAGGCCAGTATACCCATTCCCTAGTATACCCATTTCTCAGCCTCTCTGAGTGTCAACTAAGGTTTGCAGATAGGGTTCCCTGAACCACTACCTTTGGTTCTGCTGCTGAAAAACCCAACCCAAGAAATCTCCCTCATAGTATTTCAAAGACCAAATAAGATTCTATACATAGTCTCACATCCTTGAGAATGGCCCACATTAAAAAAAAAAACAAAAAACAGAAACAAGTGTTGGAGAGGATAGGGAGAAAAAGGAACCCTAGAACACTGTAGGAATGTAGCCTAGTCTAGCTCCTATGGAAAACAGTATGAAATTCCCTCAAAATATTAAAAATAGAGATATCATATGATCCAGCAATTTCATTCCTAGGTATCTACTAAAAGAGTGCAAAAAAACTAATTTGAAGATATACTCAATCCTATATTCATTGTAGCACTATTTACAATAATCAAGATATGGATTATTGGCCAAGGACAGGTGAGTGAATAAAGAAAATCTGTTGTATATACACAATGGAATACTACTCAATTATTTAAAAAAAAAAAGATGAACTCTTACCATTTGCAAAAACATGGATTGAACGGGAGGAAATTATTCTAAGAGAAATAAATCAGAAGAAGAAAGACAAATACTGGATGACTTCACTCATGTGGAATATAGAGAAACAAAACAAAGGACCAGACAAAACTAAACCAAAACAAACCCTAGAATCTTACTGTAGAATTGAGATTACCAGAGGGGGAGTGGGGTGAGGCAGGTGGCAAGTGGGAAGGGGAGTCCAGTGGACACTTGTGGTGGGTGTAATGTGGTCACATACATCTGAAGAGCTGTGAGCCTATGCCCCTAAATCTTATACAGTGTTCTAAACCATTAACTGTATTTAAAAAAATACAATTTTACAAAACAGAAATTAAATAAATAAATATTAGTAACCTTTAAAAAAGATTCTGTCTGTGGAAGCCCTCTGAAAACCAGGGCATTAGTGGGTTTTCACTGTGTGCTCAGATTGGACTGTAAAAACCTCAGCTATGGCTTCTTGGCTAAAGGCCTGTGTGTGCTGAAGAATCCCAGGGAGGGCAGGCTGTTGTCTTGCATCCCAAGATGTGAACCAAGGCTTCCTTCCCCAGACAGGATAGTAGTAGGCAAAGAGTAAAAATGGGTTTAATTAAAATTGAATAATTCTTATGTAGTGTTAGGTAATAGTTGGAACAAGTTTTTCCCATGCTAGGAGGACATGAATTGTAGTTGCAAATCATTTAGTCTTTGGAACTGAGCAAGGTCACAGAAATTCCTACCTTTGCTTCAAATGCCAGGAGCACAAAAGTCCCATGGCCGACTGCAGCTTTCTGAGTTTAAAAATCCCTGGATATTGATTTTAACAGGGCATTTCAGAGGTAAATCTGGGATGTGTATGTGTGTATATGTGTAAAATTTATAGGAAAAGAAGGATCCATGTCCCTGAGGTCTGAAACAATTGCAATGTCCCAAGTTAATCATTGAAACCTCAGGGCACGATGGGCCTCTAGTTGGCCCTGCTGCAGGGGGCCAGAGTACTGGCTAATGGAATGCTGAGGATACCTCTGGTGTAGTGAATGATTAATCTCCTCCAATTACAGTGCTCTGCACTCCCTTTCTCTGAAGCTGATAGAAGGCTGCATGATCATCTGGAGGTTAGGCAAGTCCTCCTAACAGGGTGGAGGAGAAGATAATGATGATTTGCAAATTCACAATGTGACCAGATTCCAAAGCAGCTTCCTTCTGTAGGAGTTTCTTTGCTAGGCTGTTTTCTGAAAATGAGAAAAATAAGGTTTTTAACAAAGTAATTGTCCAATGTACCTTTGTACGAACCTTTGTGCCAAGATGGCATCACAAGATGGATATGGGTATGTGACATTTGTCACCTTCAAACATGCCTAATGTTTGTTTGTGTAGTACTTTTCTTTCCACCTGAGGGCCTTAATAAATTAATGAATGATTATGCTTTACATTCATTATACAGACACTGATAAAAAAGAACACATTTTTATTTAAACTTTTTTCTTTCTATTTTACAAAGATCAGGAATGTCATTTGCAGAAATATCAGAAAAGCAATAGTTAAGTAAGAGGAACAGAGAGGCTGAGAGTTGACCACTGATAATACTTCACTTCCTGTTATAATGGATGTGAGACCTTATCTGACCGAATGACTGTGTTCCCTTCAACACACATAACCTGGACAGGATGAACTTTGGTGCGGTTGCAATGGCCTCACACATTGTTGTCATGCTTCAGGGGGATGTGACTTCGGAATCTCAGCATTCTCTCATAGGTACTCAATTTTTGTCATGAAAATAGGTTAGGTTTTGATAGTTGGGTAATACTGGTTTAGTTTTCTTTGGCTTTCGATTCTTTCACTTTGAGACCTGAGTACAAGTTAGTGAGGATGGGGTGATTCGTAAACTGGCAGTCTAAAGGTAATGATGGAATAACCTAAGAGGGTACTGTTCACTGTGGGGATTTCCCCTGGAATTTCAGGTCCTCCTCCAGGAAGACATCTGCATCCTGGCTGCTGAGCAATGAGTTTAAGGATGCGTTGGGGGTTGAACCCCTGGGAAGGAAAGAGCACGGTTCAGTGGTGACTACTGATGCTCATTGCAAGGTTTTTTCTTCCCTTAGCACACTTAGGGAATGAACTGAGTTAGGACACTTGCCATTTCCCACCTAGTGACACAGGATCCTCTCTGACCCGGCTGGGGGGTGTGAGGAGGATTAGTGCTGGCGGCCATTGAAGGCTGTTTTTGTAAATGCAGTTTGGAGTCAGCTAATGAATTTTGCTTTCACCTCATCTGTATCCATTCTCTCTCATCTTAGAGTGGGTATACAGATAAAAGTTATTGCTAATACATTTTGTAACATGATGACCTCTGTGTACTCTCCAGTTCTGAAACCACAGCCTGTATCCCAAGCTGTGCATGGTGGGCCAGTCTGAGTCCTGCTTCTCCAAAGATGAATCCACCCTGAAGGGCCTGTTGAGTTCCAGGGGTTTGAGGACCCTCATGAAATTTTCTTTCTTCGAGACCCAAAGTGATTTCTTGGAATTTATCTCTCAGCCTGTTCCTCTCTTTGGGGAAAATCTTCTCTCTGCACAAGTTATTATGAGTCTCAGATGCTTCAAGTACTTAGAAAAGTTCTTAACACTAAGCACTCACTCAGATGTTATTAGAGAAATAGCACAGTCCAGAATAACTTTTCTAGTAACCACATTTAAAAAAATACAAAGAAACAGGTGAAATTAATTTTAATAGTATATTTTTAAACCCAACATATCAGTAATACCACCTTTTCAACCTGTAATTAAAATTTTAAGGTTATTGAGATATTTCATATTCTTTATTCATTTTATGTCTTCAAAACCCAGTATACAGTTTACAATCACAGCACCACTCAGTTAGGACAAGCCATTATTTCAAGTGTTCACTCCGTACAGGTGGCCAGTGGCCACCACACTGGGCAGCTCTAGTTGAGGGACTTGCTACTCAAGGTGAGTTCTAGGAACCAGCAACCTCAGCATCACCTGAGAGCTTGTTGGAACACCAGAACCTCAGATTCCATCCCAGAATGCAGAATCTCCATTTTAACACGTGATTCATGTGCATGGCAGGGTCCTCATTTCACTCCCTACTCCCCGGGATACTGATTTCATTGACCCAAGGTCGGCCTGGGCACTAGGATTTTTAAGCCTCCCCCTCTCTTCCCCAACCCAGTGATTCTATTAATAGTATACAAGCAGACTTGAGAGTCACTTGTCTGGTCACTCTGGCACCAGGACATCTGACTCTGTCACCTTCTACCTTTGATATCTTGAGAACCAAAACTCTGCTTTAGTTTCCTCATCTCTAAAATGGAGATGAAAGTTGTATCTACCCTTACGTTGTAATGAGGCTTCAATGAGTTTAACACATGTAAAGCCTCAGTGCCAGGCACATGGATGAGCCCCTTAAATAAACTTTCATTCTTTCTTATCCTTGCAGGTCCGGGGGTACCCAGAGCCCCAGGTGACATGGCATAGAAACGGACAACCCATCAGCAGTGGCGACCGCTTCCTGCTGGATTGTGGCATCCGGGGAGCTTTCAGCCTGGTGATTCATGCTGTCCATGAGGAGGACAAGGGGAAGTATACCTGTGAAGCCACCAATGGTAGTGGGGCCCGCCAGGTGACAGTGGAGTTGACGGTAGAAGGTGAGTCCCAGGAGGCGAGAGCCCTGGTAGGAGCTGGGACATCAGTTTCTCCAAGGCCGGCAGCCCCCTGTTCCAGCCCTCTCTCAGGAAGGGAACCCATAAGAACACACCCCCATGTGTCCTGAATTCAATACCTTTTAATCTAGTGAAAAGATGTACTCTGCGGACCAGTGAGACACCCCAGGAGACAATGTTTGTCAAGTTCCAATCACCTCACTTTCCTATTTCAACCTTCCCACAGCTCACTTCCCCTCACACGGTGACCAAACTCCTCACACTGCCTCATGAAGCCTGCCTGGCCCCTACCTGACTCTCCCGACCCATCTCCTACCTCTCTTCACTCTGCTCACTCCCCTGGGGTGACAGCCCTGCACATGACTGGATCCCTCACTTGCTTCAGGTCTCTGTGCAAATGTCCCCTCCTTAGAGAGCCCTTTCTGACCCCCATCCTGCATCCCATGACTCCATCCTCTCACTCCACCAGAGTTCTCTCTTTGTGGACTCATCACTGCCTGACATGTCACTGTCTCCTCCACCCCACCACTAAATGGAAGCTCTAGGAGGAAGGAGAACTTATCTCCTTCACAACTGTATCCCAGCTTCTAGAGACCTGCCTACCCTGTAGTAGAGACTGAAATACTTGGAGAATGAATGAACAGTGTGTATGATCAAAGTATTATATGTCCATTTTAAAATAATTTATACAACTCAGAAAAATACAGGGCGATAAACATATCTGTGTATTAACATTGATTAGTTATTTTGACTTTTATTTTCTTTGTACTTAAAAAAATTCTTTTCCTTTTACTAACTTTAAAACTTCCAGGAAAAACATTGTAAGCTTCTCCTCCACCAGTGTGTGCTAAGTTGAAGCTGCATCACTGGTAAGAAAATTTCCAGTTCAAGTCTCTGGCTGATGCTTAAAGTTCTGATTTCAGGAGGGATTTGTCAGTTCCTCCAAATAAGACAAGGTTCCCTGGACCCTGCCTTCCCAAGAACTTATAAACTCACTCTTCTTACTTTGCAGATTCACTTTTCTCCTCTCCCACAGACAAACCTCCCAATCTGTTTTTCAAGGGTCAATGTATGTGAGGGCTAGTACGTGGAGGATAAGATAGTTAGAGAAGGTTCTAGAAGAAGGAGATGAGGCTCACACAAATCAGTGGCCACTCCTTGCCCTGTTTTCCCTGCATCACGGAAGGACAGACAGGCTGTTTCAAAGAACCAAATATGCATAGTTTGGATACTTTACCCAAATTCTTTAACTGAGTGACTCATTCATTTTAATGACCTTCAAGTGCCTTTGGGCTTGAGCATTCCAGATGGAAAGTGGCCCCTGGTCAGAGTCTCTGAATGGCCCTCATCTCAACCAATTCTAAAGCTGTGTTTTCCCCTCTATTATACAATTTTCAATGCCTAAACTCTGACCTGAGGCACACAATAATAATTACTATATTCCCCTAATACTAGTCTGCTTAGCTGCCACACAAAATACCACAAACTGCATGATTTAAACAACAGAAATTTATTTAATCACAGTCTGGAGGCTGGAAATTCCCAGATCTAGGTCGGGCAGGGTTTGGTTTATAGCAAAGGCTTTCTTCCCACTTTGTAGACAGCCACCTTTCACAAGGCGGAGACAAAGCTCTGTGTCTCTTCCTTCTCTTGTAAGGACACCAGCCCTGTTGGATTAGGACCCAATCCTGACCTCATTTAACTTTTACACCTTCTCACAGGCCCTGTCTCAAATACAGTCATGCTGGAGATTAGGATTCAACATGCAAATTTGGAGAGGGACAAAAATTCCGTCTTTAACACATCCCTTTTTCTGATTTTATCTGTGAAGCCGGGGAAACAGGGAATTACAAGTCATTGGTCCAAGGGTCTAGGCCAAGCTTTTGCCAATCAGATGTGTGCCTTTAAACCTCTGGGCCGCTGTTCCTACAGAATGAAAGGCTTGAGATCAGTGGCCTCTGTAGCCTGGGTAGGCCTGGTTCTCTGTGATCTATTTTAAAGGAAAACTGGAGTGGACTTGGAATGCAGGGGAGGTGTATAAACCACAGGTAATAGGAAACTTTTTTTTTTTCACTTCTCATCATTGAGGAAGCTAGAGATGATTTTTCAGCTAAGCAGGAACATTTTTAGTAGCTCAGTGTACTTGCGGCAGAGGAGAGTTGATAAGGCAGGGAGAGGTAGAGTAGAATGAGTAAAGGTTAAGGCTCTCAACCCTGCCTGCTCCCCTTTGGCTTTAATATGGGGGCCCAAGCACATTTTAGATGTTTTATCCCTTCTAACTCTAGAAGATGGAGAATGACCTAAAGGCTGCCACCTCTTCAAATGTGAGTGGGTCCTGTATACATCCTGTTTCTGCATCAAAGGCCAGTTTTAGTACATATGTGGTTCTGGGCCACCCTACAGACCACAGGCCTGGAAGAATCCACTTCTCCCATGGATGTTGTTGACATGCCAGGCTAACCCAAAATTTTACAAAATGGATATAGCAACTCACTCACCTTCTGACCAACTCTGTGCCATGCTTCTTACTTGTGCTTCTTAGTTGGAAAGAGCAGAGGAGAGATGTAATTCATATGTGCAGGCTTTGAACCTTGTAGCTATCAAGCTTAGAAGGCAGTGCTGTCAAAAGATATTTAGCTCCACTAATTTCTCACTATGGGAAAATTAACCTTTCCTTTTTTGTAAATTGGGGCTCATGGCTCCCCAACTGGGTGGTGTAAGGATCAGCACATCACTGGCAAATAGTAGGCATCCAGTAAGTCACCTTGTAATATTTGAGCCTGGTGTTAATATTCCTGAGAAATACTTCCAGAGAGAAATCCTTGCATGGAGAATTAAAGAGAAAACATTTTCATTTGGTATCCAATTTGATAACCATGGTAAGAAACACACAGTAACCTTATTGAGGACAAGTGCCTAATGACAGGACCATTCATGATGCAGTGAAAACAACCCTAGTCTGGGCCCTGAAAACGCTGTCTGCAGCCAGCTCTGACACCCCTCCATCTCCGGAGGGCATGGTCACAGAGACTTGGTGCAGAGTAAGGAGGAGACGAGGTGCTTACCTCTGGGGTCCTTCTCTTTAATGGAGGGCCACAGGCCTGTTCTCTAGCAAAACACTGTCAAGAGAAACATAATATGAGCTACATAAGTAATTTTAAGATTTTCAGTAGCCACATTAAAAAAAAACCGTGAAAATAATTTTACTTAACCCCGTTTATCCAAGGTATCTTCATTTCAACATATTGTAATGTAAATATTATTAATGTGATATTTTATATCCTTCAACATTTAGGATGTAATTTATACTGACCATACATCTCAATTCAGAATAGCCATGTGGCTAGTGGCTATCATATTAGACAGCACCACTCTAGAAGCTTCCATTTGAATAGAGATAAACAAGGCTTATACAGAAGAAAAAAAGAGAGAGAGACCCACATGTATGAAGAAGGTGGTGAGCATCCCTGAATAAACCATAGAGTGCACCTTGGGCATGGGGTAGAGTGAGGGGTAATGCTGAAATGATGGATGTACCCCAGACCTGGAGGTCTAAATCTGAGAAAGACATTTGCATTTCAGGGAACAGAGAGCCACTTAAGTTAGTTCAAGAAATGGGGGGCTGATTTTAAAGACATAAGTTCTAGAATTCAGGGAAAGCCTCACTTGCAGGCCCAAAGGAAATCGAGTCCTCATGGCTCATACTCACCTTCTGGATTGTTTGAAAACCAGTGTCTGTCCTGGCTCAAAGACATACAGGCAGGAGGAATTTACCTTTATTTCAGGGAGGATGAGAGGATGAGCCCTTTTGATTGTATTCAGGCTTTCAGCTGATTGGACAAGGCCCACCCATATTAGGGAGGGCAATCTGTTTTACTCACTCTACCTATTTAAATGTTAATGTCATCCAGAATAATGTTTGACCAAATATATAGACACCCTATGTCCAGTCAAATTGTTACATAAAATTAACCTTGTACTAAGTATTTGATTATAATGTTCCTGAATTATTTCATAGAATATGATTGACACATGTCTTCTTTTTGAGCTATAGAAATATCAAGTAATAAATACAAAGATGCTGTGTGGTGGGCTAGAAAGGCAAAGTGAGAAGGGCCCTCAGGACTTCAGCTTCTGCTCTCTCTCTGTCTCTATGAAACCACTGTTGCAGGAACCTAATAAGAGAGAGAGGACTAGGCACCAACCCACCTTGAATGTGAGAGCAGAAGGGAGAGTGACCCATGTTGTGGGATTTAAGGGGAAGAGTGGCCCTAAATTACATGAGTAACTGGCTCTGCTGACACCAGCTTTCTTGGGTGATTTTGCATTTGTAGGAAATGCTACTGTGCTGTCTTTTTTGCCATCACCTTTTTTCAGGGACATATTTCTCAGGCCCTTTTCTTTTCATATAAGATTAGATTGATGACATTATGTAGTTTGAGTCCATGGCTATTTATATTGGCTGAGTTTTAAATTACTGTTTTCCACAAGAATGTCTGTCATGATCCTCCTTTTGGAGGTTTTTTTTTTTTTTTTTTGTTCTCTTATTTCTTTTGTACTATTTTCTTTTATCTAACTTTCCTACTTTCTTAAATACCTGTAATTATATTTCCCATTTATATTCTTTTTAAATTCCTTTCAATCTATACTATTCCCTAATGGCCTTTTTTTTTTTTTTTTTTTGAGCCATATGCTCTTTCAAGGCAGTCAGAATCTTAAAATGCTCTGAGTTTTTGTCCTTTTCTGTCTCATCAAAGTTAACAATACAAATGTGGTAGAGATAAAAATTCTTCTTTTTGCCCCACTGGTGTCTCTCTGTGCTGTGAAATGTTAGGCATCAAGACAGCCTTAGCAGAAGCCTTGCTTCTTTGCTACACAGAAGACTCAGATGACAAATTACTGGGTCTTGTTTTGTTCTTGACAGATGACTTCCAAATCTCCTTTGCTTTGGCTCTCTTTCCTTCTTTATTTTCACCTTCTACTTTGTCTGGCCTCCAAATATTCACCAGTTTTCCTTGTTGGCCCACTTTGATTTCTACCATCAACGCTGTCATCTTTTCTTTCCACCTCTTACTCCTCCACACCTTCTCACATCTCTATCTCCAGCCCTTTGTGGATTTGGATTTTTCTTAGTTGCTCATAATTCTAAAATGTTCTTCATTCATCAGATTTTATTGAATGTGCTAACTTTGTGCTAGGATCTAAAGAACAATAATACTTGGTGACTGTCCTCAAGAAACTTTCTTGACCCCATTATTATATTTGTTTAAGATTCAACATCAGGATGTGTTTAGAATTTAACGTGGTACTGTATGGGAAAGAAAATGCTTTACTGATCCTTTCTGCAAGAATCTGGTTGGTCAGATAAGACCTAAACATGTTTAAAAGTATGTAAAGCATAATTCCAGAGATAAGGCAGCATGTTTTTCTAAGCACAGTTGTAAATTCAGAGAATGAGCGCCCTAGAGACTGAAATGGTCTGTGACATCTTCTTGGGGGACTTGGGCTGGTTCCAATAGAACCAGTCAGTTGGGCAACAGATTGTAATTCAGGTGATGGGGGTGGAAGGAAAGTAAAGAGAACTGGGTCTGGGGCGAAATCAGAGTCAGGGAGCAGAAAGAAGTGGGAAATAAAACTGAAGGACAGATTCATCTGTAGAAAGTCTAGACCATGAAGCCTGTCAGTTTGTGGAACGATACCCATTCTAGTTACTGAGTGAACTGGATTCTGCCCATTGATCGTTCCTTTTCCATTTTCATGCTGCACATAGCTCTCTAGATGAACTGCTCCTCTTTGTTAGAGCTAGAGATACATGCTGTATAGTTACTTTTATCTCAGGTATCTTTTTAACTTTACCTTTATTTACTGAATAGGTAGGTTTTGTTCTGGTCACCATTTTTCCATGTGTCCCAATAGTCTTTGATACACCATCATTTTGCATAATCCCCAACAAAGATGAGTTGCTTGTTAGTGTTAAGAATTTCTCATATCCATGCTTAAAATTACCTCCCTGTATGTTGTACTTCCCACCGTGCGACTTCTAGTCCCAGGTGACTGCCACTCCATCCTATCTGACAGGGGGACATTTTTTCCATCTCAGTGTCATTGTTTCCTTCCTGATAAATTGATAAAAAAAGTCAATCTTCATGACTCAAATATTTCAAGGAAACCTGTTGCTTGGCCTCGTGTGGCCTGGGGAATGACAATGAAAAGTGATTCTAGAGAAGAGAACTAGGGTGCCTGTGAGTCTTAGTTCTTTTCTTTTCACAGAGTATCTTAATTTCTCTCCAGAGTACTTATTTAAGACAAAGTTCTTAAACTATTCTCCCCTCCAACATAAAACTTTGAACTCATTGGTAGGAAATACACTTGATTACTTCCTGGTCATCTTCTTGTCTTCTAAGAAGTGGACATTTTCTTTCATCTACCTGAGGAAGAAATGATTCTTTGATGTGTCAATTGCCTGGAGCCCCAAACAGAACTCCTGAAATATCTGTTTGGCTACTTGGGATGACCTCCTTAGGATGTACTTGTTATTGTCACAGCATAAGAATGACAGACAGGTGTGCATTCCAGCAAGAGGAGACTGCGTCACTGCCTCCCAAAGCTCCCTGCCTGTGTGGAAACTGGGGAATGAACAGTTTATATAGGATGAGGCCTCCATTTCTATAATGCCAAGTAGCCCCAATGTTAACATTTTAGTGTCCCCAAGAAAGGAACTTGACAGGCAGGCATGACCTCAGGCAACCTCACGTGCCCCTTTCCTCTGCTACACCAGTTAGTCACCAAACTCTGCTGTGCCATTCCCCACTCTGTTCCGTTCACACTGCCCCCTTTCTGGTCTTCACTGCACCGTCTCTTTCTTTCCTATTGTGTGAGTTCCCAGTGGGTCTCCCCAGTTCCACTCATACTCCACACTGATCTCAACATTGCTGTTTAAAATAGCTTTTACAAAAATTAAGATGGAATTTGATCACTCCCTTCATTCGAATCCTTGAGTGATGTACTGTTGTCTTTAAATGAAAACTTGAGATCTCGTCAAGGGCCTGCCTTCCTTACCTCACACCCTCATTGCCTGTGAGTGCCAGCCACACAGACCTTCAGTTCTTCCACCAGGTAGGCCCCTTCCTACCTGAGCCCTGACTCATGCCCCTTCTCTTTCCAGAATGTTCTCATCTTTCTCCTCTGAGAAATCCTGTTTATCCTTCTGGCCTCCGTGTGAACACCCAGGTTCTCCGGAGCCCTCCCTTACAAACCCCTGGGTGGGCCAGGTTAAGTCCCTTCCAAAGCACTCAGCTCTTCACAGTCTTCATACACTTGAACTTATTTGTACTTAAATTTTACGTTAGTATTTTAAAGTAAATTGATGTATATAATGAAAGCAAAGAGAACGGGTCTCCCCTGGTGGAGCAGCAGTTGAGCACTGGGCTGTGAAGCTGCCCACAGCCTCTGCAGCACCGGTTTGATCCCTGGCCGCCAGTTGGGGTCCCACATGGCGTGACAGACCTCTCCTGCCGTGCCCACTGTTCCCCTCAGCAGTGTATTTCAGTCAGTCTGCCTGTTCTGTTCCCCGCTCTGGCTCTGGTGAATTCTCTCACCCTCCCGCACTTCTGACTGTACCCAGTGCTTGTATAAATAAATAAATAAATCTTTTAAAAATAAATAAATAAATAAATAAAAGCAAAGAAAAAATTTGAGGCTCAGAGAAAGGCAAAGTGTTTCAAAGAATGGAAAGGGGACATCTAGTTGCAACATTCTGCAAAATATATCCTCCTTGAGCAGTTTCACTGACCTTTAGTTTCTACCTTTTTTCATTCTCTTTTCTTAATATCAAGTTTAATATTTAACCAGAAACCATGTTCCCAAACATTTCTGCAGAGGTTTACTTAAGCCTGTGCCTCTAAATGGAGACTGTACCGCCCTCTAGGGGGAATTTAGGAAATTTCTGGGGGTCCTTTTGTTTTTCCCAGTGATTGGAGGAGCTGCTGATATCGAGTGGGAAGGCACCAAGGGTGCAGGATATCCTGCAGCAAGAATTTTTATTAATTTCTTATGGCTGTTGAATGTCCTGCCAGAATAGTTTCCTTAGTCTTTGATAATATAAAAAAATCAATGGTTCCTTAGTCTTTGTTAATATAAAAAAAGGCATGCAAGGGCTTGCAAAAAAAAAAAACCCAATAATTTAAGAGCTAGGAAAGGGAAGCTTAAAAACAACAACTTCAAAATTATTGAAGAATTTCTCACATTTTTTCTTCTAAATGAACTGTAAAATTTCTAGCTATGTATTTATTTTCTTTATATAATTATAATTATGCTTATTTAGTTATATATGTAAATAGTATAGTTATAATTTCAGCTATATATGTAATTCCATTATTATACTGTGACTGCATTATTGCTCTGAAACTATGGATCAGAGATTTGAAACTCTAAACAGTTTTATTTATTTATTTAAAGATTTATTTTATTTATTTATGCATACAAGGACTGGGGTGTAGGCTAGAGCTACAGGGGGTGAGAGGATTCACCAGAGACAGAATGGGGAACAGAACAGGCAGATCTACTGAGATACACTGCTGAGGGGAGCAGCAGGCGAGACAGGAGAGGTCTGCTGTGTTATGTGGGTCAGCTACCTGGTTGGGGCTCGAACTCACAGGCCACTGTGGCTGATGATAGCTTGATAAAGCTGAGACTTCAACCTCTGCACCACCAGGGAGACCCTCTAGCCAGTAGAATGAAGTCATTAATTTAGAAGAGATACATGAAATATAAGCATCTCATTCACATATTTCTTAAAACTTTGAAGCATAATGATAAAAAATTTGCCATAAAAAATACACACAGAGAAGTTATTTTGGGTTTACTGCTGTTTTTCATGCTAATACACAGCTTGTCTCTGCCCTTTTGTTATTATTACTGTTCTTTTAGTCACACCATTCACTGAATGTTTTAAGGTATGGTGGGATTTTCAGATATAGATAAGGTTTCTGTAATAACTTTTTCATATTCAATTCTACATCATAAAACAGAAAATTGTTTTGATACCACCCTTATAGTCTTTCTTTTTTTTTTTTTTTTACTTCAGTGGGTTGTAACTTACCTTCTAGGTTATATTCTTTTAGTTATTTTATTCTTTTTATATATTACATCTGCTCTGTTGACAGAACTTTCTAACACTGCTTTGTGTCTACTGCATACCTGCACACTTTAATTGTACTATTTGTACAGAACCTTTTTAGATCTTTTACTTTTAAATCCAAATGTGCATATGAGCCAGTGTGTGCATCTGACTCTTTCATTATGTCTTCTAATGTGTCTAAGCATTTACATATTGAAAGAGTCTTGCTCGAACGTTTGCAGATTGCTATTGTGATTTACTTCCCTTTTATTTCTCCTTAATGTGTTAGTGAGGGTTTTACATTTGTTCTTTTCTTGAAATTATATGTATGGGTGGTTGGGTGGTTAGTGATGAACAAAGGGTCTTGCTAACTATCTGTTGTAACAAGTAGGGATTTTTTTTCGATAGGATGAAGAACCACTATTATCTACATGTCTAGTCACCAGCACACCCAGTTAAGTTATCTGGGTACCATCCACTGTACTTGTCACTACTACTCACTTATTTCATCTCGGAGTAAATATTTGAAAAAAACAAGACTTATAACTGATAAGTGGAAACACAAAATATGGTCCTTTGAGCAGTCCTTCAAATTCACTATGAAGTTGTCTAAAATCAGGTGACTGTTCTCCACTTTGCCTGGGACAGTCGTTTTACTTCGCTGTCCTGGCAGAATTATCTCACTTTCAGTGTCAAGAATCCTGTGTGGGTGATTAATTGTTTCATCACAAATTATATAATCATACTTTTTTTACATTTTAAAAGGACAGATTTATTAGGAGAAAGGTAACAAGAGGCACCTGCATAGTCACAGGTGGGCAGAGAGCTGTTGCTGCTGCTGCTATGCAAAGGGAAAAGGTTGGTGAGAAGAAACACCTATGGCTATAGGTGGACAGGATAGCTGCCCAGCACAAAATTTTAGAAGCATTTCTTCTTTCCATCTTGATCACATTCCGCTTCACAGCAGCATTCTCTGTCCCAACTGAGTCTTTCTATATCCTCTGACAAAAAGGGCTAGTTTCCTCCACTATTGAACTTTTCACTGCTAAAGCCTGCCAGCATTCTCTTTTACTTGTCCTTGAAAATTTTAAGATAACTGTTTAAAATACCTTCATTATATTGGCTTTTTCTTTAGCTCACCGACTTGATCCGTCTCCACCAATTCTCTTTCCTTACTCTTCTATTTTTGGCATTTCTACCTTAATCTTCTTTCCACTTATTTTTCTACAGATACTTACTGTTCTGCCAGATTTTCATACTTTCACAAAATTAATTTTGCCTTATCTGACAATATGCAACTTCAAATTTTTGCCTATAAATAGACTGTTAGTTATTTTAGCTCAAATTTATTTTTTGTTTTGATGTAAATGCTCTGGTGTTAACTCACGTTCAAATAAGCATTCCTCAGTTCCATTTTTAGCTGACTGCTTTTATGTGTTACCTTTGGATCATACCATAAACTGCCTTTATCTCTAGATAGAAGTATCTCCAAAAGACATTCTTTTGATCTCCTTTGAGGAAATAGCATATTTTTGTTTTTACTTTATTTTTTAAGGAATAAAGGAATTTTAACCTTCAGATTTAGATATTTAGAACCTGAGAGTTTCAAGAATGCTTCATTTAATTGGGGGGGGAATGAAATATATGTATGTACTTAAAGTTTACATTTCAGTGACATTAAGTACATACACACTATTGTACAAACATCATCATTATCTAGCTCCAGACCTTTTTCATCACCCCAACAGAAAGCCCCTTCCTTTCCCACTCGTCAGCCTCTCCTTCCCTGGCCCTGGAAGCTTCCAATCTGCTTTTCTCTCTTCATGGATTTGCCTCATCAGGATAGTCATATAGCATGTGTCATTACTTTATTCCTTTGGATGACTAATATTTCATCATGCAGATGGACCATATTTTGTGTTTCCACTTATCAGTTATAAGTCTTGTTTTTTTCAAATCTTTACTCCAAGATGAAATAAGTGAGTAGTAGTGACAAGTACAGTGGATGGTATCCAGATAACTTAGGCGGGTGTGCTGGTAACTAGACATGTGGATAATAGCGCAGCCCAGCTCATCTTGTTTGGATGCCAGCATCTTTTCCCTCTTTTGAAAAATGATACAGTACCAGCATCTTTACATTATAGCAGGAATCCAAGTGATAATATGTGCAAAGTGCCCACTATAAGTCTGACCACTATGAGCTGTCAGGGTTAACTGTTTCCATCACCCATCCCACCCCAGCTGGCTATTGAACCTGACTTTCATTGCTCGAAGTTGGTGGCTCAGACCTGACTCTTCAAACTTCTTTCTCTTTGTTTCATACTTGCAGGGGGTTCTTTGAAGAAGTGTGGTCAGCCTGTTGTTTCCAAAACCATGGGGTAAGTTCTGGGATATTCAAATCAGGATAAGGTTTGAATTGTCTTTTCTTGCTGTTCTGTTGACAGAACAGGTCTATAAAGTGAGTCTTCTTGGGCATCTTGGGTTACAGTATCTAAAACAGGAGCCTTCTGGGACATGAGGTATCATTCACACACTGACTCCTGACTGGGCAGCCTTTGCGAATAGCCCCTTTGATTGGTCAAAGTGCTCCTGGAAGTGGACTATGGAGTCATAGGTGCTAACACTTAAGACAATGATCAGAAGGCTTAAGTAAACAGACTTAGAAAAGGCAGTCAATATGTGATACTTCTTATGGAAAGTAAACATATTAGTGAGGATAAGTAACAGTAGCTGCTATAATAGCAAGTCCCCAAATCACAATGACTTAACATAGAAAAGTTTATTTCTTTATGCAAGCACAATCCAATTTAGATATTCTAGAACTGGGACTTTGCTTAATAAGTTCAGCACAGTGGGGGGCCTTCCCATTTTCTTTCAGGGACCCAGGCTCCTTCCATTTTATGGTTCCATCACCTCCTAAGTCTTAGAGCCTCTGCTGAACAATCTGCATCTAGCCAGAGAAGTGGGCAAGAGAAAGTGTGGAGAATCTCACAGGAGGTTTTCATGGGTCAAGACTAGAAGTGGTGTACAGCAGAGCTGTTCACTGTTTGTTAGCCAAAACCCAAGCTTTGGGCCAAAACTTGGTAGAATTCAGGTATAATGTCACTGAAGGCTGGTAAATGAAGTCTAGCTATCTTCCCAGGAGGTATAGAAAATAGGTTTTGGTGCCACAGATTTTTCCAAAGGGTACATTAAAGATGTGTTTGAGGCACAGAGTTGATAAGGCTGCTCTTTGCTGGTTTCTGACCTCAATTTAAGTGACTTACGTGGGGCAGAGAGAAAAGGATCTGAATTGATGCTGTGTCTGGGACTAGGTTCTCCACTGATTTCTTTCCAGGGACAGATTTGCTGCTCCTTCAGTGAAGACCCGTCCTAGTATCTGGGGAGAGTGCCCACCAAAGTTTGCTACAAAGCTGGGTCGAGTGGTGGTCAAAGAAGGACAGATGGGACGATTCTCCTGCAAGATCACTGGCCGACCCCAACCACAGGTCACCTGGCTCAAGGTGAGGTTTGTGTCTGGCCAGTCTTTGGCCCAGATTCGGGGACCCTGGAAGTTCAAGGTTAGACTCTTGGACTGGGGGAATCTGTATTTCCAATAAATCCCTTCATTTTTGATTGTAGATGGTTCTCCTAGGGTCTGTGTTTGATAGCCATGCTTGTTCTTGCCCCTATTTGTATACCTCACCTTCTTTTACTCAGCCCACAATATCCTATAATGCACACACCCACAGAACAGCATACATCTTCTGAGTCAAGACAGATCTGAACATCTCAACACAGTGGAATTTGAAGTCATGGCTCTAGATATCAAGCCACAGCCACATTTCAAGGCACACACAAACCACGTGATGCTGAACAAGTCATTCAAACTTTTGGGACACTGGTTTCCTTATCTGTGAGGTGGAGATAATCCCACCTACCTGAAGATACTGTTGGAAGATGCTGTGTAGAAGTACCTTATAAATCATTCAGGACTGAGCAATATGAAAATGGCAGCAGAGGCAGTGGAGGGGAAAATGGAGAAGGCTGATGGAAAGGAGTGGATGTTAACCAGGGCAGTGAGGAGCCTTGAAAATACCTTGGGTGAAAGCCAGGGAAGTAGGTTTTTCACAGATGCAACTCCTGGATAAAAATGAGTGATGGGACACCTTTTACCTACTTTCTAATTGTCTTGAACTGACCTTGGGTAAAGAATAAAAGGAAGGGCCTCCCCAGTGGTGCAGTGGGTGAGCGCTGGGTTGCAAAACTGCCCGCAGCCTCTGCAGCGCCAGTTCGATCCCCGACCACTGGGCGAGAGTCCCACATGGCGCACAGACCTCTGCTGCCACCCGCTGCTCCCCTCAGCAGTGTACTTCGTCTGTCTGCCTGTTCTGCACCCTGCTCTGGCTCTGGTGAATTCTCTCACCCTCCCGCACTTCTGACTGTACCTAGTGCTTGTATAAATAAATAAATAAAATCTTAAAAAAAAAAGGAATAAAAGGAAGAGGGAGGTAAAGGAAAACTGAAGTCATGCAGGATTTCCCACCTCAAAGTGGGGCTCCTTTGAAACAGTTCCATACATCTGCTCTAAGGTGGACCAAACGTACCAACATGTAGAATCAGAGTCTGTGGACTGTCCAAAGACTGCTCTATGAGCCTGTGGACAAAGCCCAGAGAGCAGATAGAAGATGCCCTGGGATCTGTCCTACCAGGATTGGCAGGAAGTAAAATGTGAGCAGGTTTCTGTGACAAAGCTAGTCTTGTCTCCAACAGGAAGATGTTCCCCTGCAGCCGAGTGCCCGTGTGTCTATGTCTGAGAAAAATGGGGTACAAGTTCTGGAAATCCATGAAGTCAACCAAGATGATGTGGGGGTGTACACCTGCATGGTGGTGAATGGTTCAGGGAAGGCCTCCATGTCTGCTGAGCTTTTCATCCAAGGTACCAATGGGTGCGGAGGGCTGATGCCTGAATGACCCCTGCTGGTGTCCGCATACTCCTTGCTCACTATGTGCCTATGTGTTGTATGTGGCACCCTAATATCCCAGTGTTCTTCCCAGGGGCAGGGTCTTAATCCAGAAGAAAGGAAGTGGGTCAGATGCACAGATATAGCCACAAAGAGAGATGTAGCATTTGTGTTCCTATATTCCACCTACACATATGCCTTCCATTTTTTTCTTCTTGTTCAGACACTTTTTTGTATCTCTAATTGCTGGTTGAAAGAGTGGTCATGACTTATCTCTTGCCATCACCCAAAATTTAACCTGCCTAAAATTTAACTCAACATCTACTCTATCTTTCGAATCAGGTGCCCCCCAACTTTCCTCTTTCTCCCCCAGGATCCCAGACTGAACATTGCAGCATTGCCTTTAACCCCTGCCTCTTCCTTGCTGCAGTCATCAACTCCTGTCCGCTCTTCATTGAAATCTTTTATGTTCTATTCCTTATCTTCCCCTTGTCCCTCCAAGTTTGGTCTGGGGGAGCCAGAATATGAGGATGAAGAAAGAAACTGATGTCACCTCACTGGAGCAAGGTGGGATTCACAGGATGAGGGAGGAAATGATCTTGACTCTCTTCTCCTCTTTTCTTACCCCCTTTTCTTCCATGACATTTCTTCTCCACATCTCCATCATTTCTCAGAAACTATAACTCCTTGCTTTCCTTACCATTATTGGCCCAAGTGTTTTCATAACCCACAGATAGAAAAGTATTCAGTGTTGCAACTGAGGACATATATGTGTATGTAAACATGCTCATTTAACTGACGTAACATAAACATATTTCAGTGAAAAAAGTTTGATGAAACAACCCTGAGTTCCACTTTGACACTACAGGGGGGATTCTCTATTCTACACTACACCAGTAGGGGCAAGGGGAGACTGTGGTCCTGACCAAGGAGTTTGACCTCACAACTCACTGGGACCAGCACCTACTGTCAGGCATCAAGGATTTCAGTCCCTTTGCTTGCCTTGCACAGAACTAAAGAATTGCTGTCTTCTGACGTGCTTACTGATAAAATGGCAGGTTGCCTGGAATTTGTTTTGAAAGAAACTCCCAGAAAAAGCCCCTCAAAAACCCCAAACAAAAAGGGAGAGATAATTAGCACATAATTATGTCCTTAATACGAGAAGGGCTTTCAGGACTTGTTATATCCTTCTCTCTACTGTATGTTGTATATGAAATTTGCCATTATAAATGTTTTTTTAAAAATAGGGCAGGAAAAAACATTGTATATGTATTCTTTCTTGGAAGACTAAATAAAATTACTTCCCCTGTACACGTTTAAAGCGGGTATTTGTCAAAAATGATGATTTTGGAAGGTCTGTTTTTTGAGGGGCACCTATAAGTTAGGGTGTTAGGGTTTGAAAGATGTTTATGTTTGCTTGTCCCTGCATTGGCTTTTGTTCCCTTAGGCAGGAGAAACAGGGCAGGTCCAAGTCTCAGAGGGTATAGTAGATGGCACCCTAGATGGCCAGGGCAATGCTGGAAGCTGGGCCATGTCTCCAGGGCTCAGAGGCGCGCAGAGAGGCATGGAGGGTTGCAGAGGGCCTCATCAGACTAACCAGGGACTTCAGGACAGAGAAGCTAAAAGAAAGGAAGAAAGTTGGATGTAGGTGATCTGGGAAGTCAGAGCTTGGGAAGCAAAATCCATGGTGCACGATACTGCTACCTTTTACCTCTTTCTGCTCTGGGCATATTTTGAAACAGGCCACTAACAGTCTTTCTACCTTTCCCTCCTTTTCCAGGTTTGGACAACACCAATAGGTATGTCTAGGCTTTGTCATTATTATGTTTCTGTCTTGAATACCTTGAAAGAAAAAAGAGATTGCCATCAAAAAATGCCCTGATTATTTGAACCACTATTTATGGAGGGAGAACTCACCCTTCGGGGGGCATCATTTCTATTCGGGGTGTTTGTTTTATTCTTCTATTACAGTATGCTTTACAGGTTCTGTGGGAGGTTACCACTGGTTTTGTGGTCCCTGAAGACTCAATGGCTTGTCCCTCTCAGCAACTTTATTGGTTAGCCGTCACGAGGAAGGGCGCTGCGCTCTGAAAAGGGCGCCGTACACGCTGCCTGGCAGAATGCACGTGCTGCTTCAGAGCGCCTTCATCAGGAGCTTCCTCCCATGTGCACAGCTCCGAGCTAGATGTTGGGTTTGTGGGTGAGCAGATGTCTAGGGTAGAAAAGACCTCTAAACAGAGCCACACGAGTACATAATTCAAAACGATGATGGGTGTATGAGGAAGGATATCAGAGAAGCACTGATTTAGGCTTAGAGGGTCAGAGAAACCCTTTCTGAAAACTTGATGTTTGAGTTGAGCTATGAAGAATAATATTGACCAGGTGATGAAGCACTCAGGAGGGGGTTCCAGGCAGAGGAAATGGCATGTGTGTGAAAGCACGGAGACAAGATGAAGGCTTGGGTGGGTGAGGGAACCCAAAAGAACACTTGTGGGCCAGCAGCCTGGGGGGCAGTGAGATGCACGAGGTAGCTGGATCCATCTCTCCCAGGGGCATCCTTGCAGGCTATTGAGAGAAGCGGTTTTATTCTTAATATAGCATAGAGTAGTTGGAAAAGCCTTCAGCTTGAAATGACATAATTCTATGCATGATTTTAGAAGATTAACTGTGGTTGTTTGTGGGAGTGGATGAGGCCAGCAGGCATAAGGGAAAACCAGTGGTGCAATTGAAATGGCAACACTAGAGAGGAAAAAACAGGTGGATTTGAGGAGGGCAGGTAACACTCTGGATTGGGGATGAGGGACAGTGTCAAGAAGGGCTGCTGGCTTTCTGGCTTGGAAACTGAGAAAATGGCAAAAAAAAAAATCTTCAGTTCTTACTCTCTTAATTTGTGGGCTTTTGGGATGCCAGGAATGTGTGTTTGTGGTGAGTAATGTTTTTGAATAACCTAACAGTATTCTGTTCCTCCTTCTCCTTCCCTGCTGCCTCCCACCCCCACTCCTGCAAAGGTCATTTGTGAGAACAACCAAGGTCACCAGTCTAGATACCAGGAAAGAAGTGACCAATGGAATCACAAAGGATCTGAAACTGGACAGCCTGGGGACTGCGGCTGAAAGTAAGAAGGGTGCCAGCACCCAAAGAAGTGGCTCCCCCTCCTGGGCCACTAATAGCCAGGCTCAGCCCCTGAGGGACTCTAAGCTGGAGCCACTTGGGGACTCTCCCAGAAAGGCCCTGAGGACTCCCATCCTGCAGAAGACTTCCAGCACCATCACCCTGCAGGCTGCCAAAGTCCAGCTGGAACCAAGAGCACTGGTCTCGGGAGTCCCCTGTCCTTCCAGAGAAGAGAGGGAGAGACCAGCTGCAGCCCCTTCAGCCTCCCTTGCCCTCAGGCAATATGGCCTGGGAAGCCAAGAAGCTGTGAGCAAGGCTGCTGCTAAGAAGATTCCCTTGGACAGCCAGAGGGAATCAACATTCCCCAAATTTGAGAGCAAGCCCCAAAGCCAGGAAGTCAATGAAGATCAAATAGTCAAGTTCAGATGTGAAGGTGAGTGGAGCTGACAGGTATTGGCCTTCCTGGTGGACACTCCCTTTCTCAGCCCCCTGTATCCACCCACCCCAGGAAGCTACATTACAGCCCCTCAGGAAGGACTCAGTCTAGTACATCCTTTGTTCTGGATGAACACCCAAGAGCAACCCATCTCTCTGCTGGAGGGTGCATCCACCCTGTGCCCCAATTCTAACCGCTCCCGAGGGAAAATCCACCACACCATCACTACCAAAAATCAAGCCTCTTTCCTTCCTTCTGCTGGCTTTAGCTGACATGGGGGCCTGGCTGTCACCCTTGTGTCCTTCCTCCCCAAGGACCTGTCTCCACCTCGAGATGTTCACTCTTATGGAGTGCAGGGTGGAGAGCTCAGAAAGCAGACTCCAGCAGGAGGGCAGCTGAACAGGGGTTCAGGACCCCCACCCACCCCACAAACTCCATGTCCTCTCTGGTACCTGATAGCCTTCACTTGACCCTGTAGTTTCGGGGATCCCAAAACCCGAAGTGACCTGGTTCCTGGAAGGTGCCCCCGTAAGGAGACAAGAAGGCAGTATTGAGGTCTATGAAGATGGCGGCTCCCATTACCTGTGCCTGCTGAGTGCCCAGCTGTGGGACGGCGGCAACTACAGCTGCACGGCCTCCAACATCCGCGGCCAGGTGTCCTGCGGCTGGACCCTCCTGGTAAAAAGTGAGTCTGCTCTTCCAGATACCCAGGGTTCTCTGTGAGATAATAACTTGTGGGGTACTTTATATACCACAAAAGCTCCACCTCCTAGAGCTCCCCACCCGGGGTACACAACACCCCCCATCATCCCTTCCCCTTCTGGGCTAAGACCAAAGCTGCTGCTGCAGGACGGTGATTCCTGACCAGGAAGGAGTTCACATCAGCATCACCTCAGAATAGCTTATGAGGCCCCACCCTGTTCACTACGAGCTGACTTTTATAGGTTCCTCAGCAATGCTGTGGCTCACTTATGTAACCAGAGAACCAAAGGTCCCTAAACATACAGGGTGAGAGCTAATGTGAGAGCTCATGTGAAGGACTGTCATGAACCCAAGTAAGAGTGTTCCACTTTCATCTGGCTCAGCACTCAGACCAGGAGTCAACAAACATCTTTAGTGTTTTTTTTTTAAAAAAAAAAAAACTTTAATTTTAGAAGTGAGAACTGTCCCGCTACTCCCACTTGGAGGTGGGAGTGCCTGTGGGAAGATCTCACAGGTCCGGGAGTTCCAGCCTCACCATCCAGAACCAGGGACAGATATGTGCCATCATGCCCACCAAAAGCAGCAGGTTAAAAACCAGCTGGCTTTCATTGGAATGTTAGCTGTTATTGTGAAATGGCTACTGTGCATGGAGGCTATACCTACAGCAAATCTGGGGGTAAAAGAAGAGTGTTGGTTTTTAAAGCTAGCACAGAGGTAGGGTTAGGAGGTGGGAACTGAGGACATTAAAGTGTCGCCAAGCTTGCTGTTCTTATTGAGACTCAACTATTTTTTTTTAAGATTTACTTATTTTTATAGAAGAGCTGGGGTACAGGCCAGAGGTGCGGGAGGGTGAGAGGATCCACCAGAGACAGAGCAGGGAGCAGAACAGGCAGAAGGACTGAAATACACTGCTGAGGGGAGCAGCGGGTGAGGCAGGAGAGGTCTGCCACGCCATGTGGGAATCTCCCTGGCCGGCCTGGAATCGAACCCGCACTGCAGAGGCTGTGGACAGCTTCACAGCGCTGTGCTCAACCTGCTGTGCCACCAGGGAGGCCGGTTTTTGTTTGTTTTTGAATGAGTGCGTCTCAGAATGTTGCAAACCTTTGGTTAATTTCCAGAATTCTAAAAAAAGTGGTTTTTCACTTTTTTTGCCTGTATTCGTGTTCCTTTTTGGAAGAATGGATTTTTCAGAAATCTTGCTCTGCTATTCCAACGTGCTTCCCAACTGCCTATCTTGTTGGAGATACTAGCTATTCTAAAACTTCTTCACCCTCCAAAAATCCCAGTTCATTCTTGTCAGACCACTTCACCAAGAATCAGGTCATCTAATGTGTGTTCTTTTAACATCTGCCACATCCTCTTTCTCTGTTTTTTCCAGTCACTGCAGAAAAGCTGTCTTCTTTTTCATCCTGAGATGGCCTGTCTGTTCCTTTCTCTCACAGGGCTGGCCACAATGGAGGTGGCCCCCTCATTCTCCAGCGTCCTGAAGGACTACACAGTCATTGAGGGTCAAGACTTTGTGCTACGGTGCTCAGTGCAGGGGACTCCTGTCCCCCGAATCACTTGGCTACTAAACGGTGAGTGTCCCTGCCTCACCCCTGTCCTGCACCACCCTGCTTCAGTCCCCTTGGCCCTCAGACCTGCCTGCATTCTCACTTAGCTTCCCCCCACTTTACCACCCTGAACATGTATGCTTAAGGGAGAAACACAGGGTACACAGGGCCATGGAGCCTGGGAGCCTGCTCTTGTCTGACTGAAGACACAGGGTAAGTTACTACTCCTACCTGAACCTTGAGTGCCTCATCCACAAGGTGCAATAATCCCACCTTGCAAGGTGGTGGCCGTGAAAATTCAATTAGGTCCTTTTTAAAAAGCAGTTAATGAGTGCCTGGCACATAAGGGGTGAATAATTTACTTACTTTTTATATGGCTGGGTTCATAGTGGACCCTCTAATAAATATTTGTTGACCTCGTAAATGAACAAAGAAAGCAACAAATTAATGGATCACACTAGAAGCTGCTCGCATAACTTGCCTTTGATTTAGGGGCGGGTGTTTATGAGTCTCATAGACCAGTCATTCTGTCACAGTCCTATAGAGACATGCCAGCTATTTTCTCTTTTTAACCTTCTCTTTCTCAAAACATTCTTTAAATATCAAAAGTATGGCAGAACTTTAATTTTAGAAGTGAGAACTGTCCCACTCTCATGGCCATGGCTCCTTAAGAGAACCGCTGGGTATCACTGCCTGGCACCAGGGCACCTGACAGCCTCCACTAGTTTTGGTGCCATTAGTGTGATGTCCTCAACCTACCTTGTTACTATAGTTTGCTTAGACTTTGCTATAAATTACCTTTAGTCAGTGGGAGAAGGTCCCACAGAGTCTTCCTACATGTCTCCTTGGGCAGTTAATTGAGAAATGAGGTCCACTTCCCTCCACCCCTCAACTATGACAGGATTCTTGCTGGATCCCATAACTGATTGCAGGGAGGCAGCCTCCTTGTCACTGGAACAGAGCATGGATGAAGGACTGTCATGAACCCAAGTAAGAGTGTTTCACTTTCATCTGGCTCAGCATTCAGACCAGGAGTCAACAAACATCTTCTGTAAGGGCCAGATTGTAAATATTTTCAACTTTGTGGGATTTACACAACTGATAGAATGCTGTTATGGCACAAAAGCAGAGTCACTATAAATGAATAAGTGTAGCTGTGTTGAAATAAAGCTTTATTTATGGAGACTGAAATGTGAATTTCATACAATTTTCACATATCATGAAATAGTCTTCCTTTGATTTCTTTTCCCAACATTTAAAATATGTACAACCTATTGTTAGCTTTCAGGATGCACAAAACCAGGCTTCATTTGGCGGGTTGCATTTGGCGGGTGACTAATTGGCTGACTCCGATTCTGTACCACTCCATACTATACACAGCCCCCTTCTTATTCTTGGTGAATCTGGGCATTTCCACCCTCTTCCCACTAGAGGGCGATCATACTCAATTCAGGTTCTCTTAAGGGCTAATTGGTCTCGCCCGCTCTGAGAAAGTTGGGTCTCCCAGTTCTGAGTGCTCTGAGCCAGCAGCTCTTTTCTGGGGTCACCATTCCTTCATCCCATTATTGTGGGGCCAAAACGGGTTATGTTTCAGCAAAAGGAGAACCTGTCAGTACATGTTTTGACAGTAGAGGTACTTTGATGGCAGCCATGGAATGCACTGGTATTCCCAAGACAGAGAGCTTTAAGGGTGTCACTGTGAGAAAAAAATAAAAACAAAAAGCAGTGTTTGACCCCCTCCGTGGCAGGATCCCATCCCTGCCTTGCCCAGCCCCCAGTCCCACTGCTATGGAGTGTGGTAGCCTGGGCTGAATCTCTTTCCCCCACGGGATGGCATGTTGGCAGCCCCCCAGCTGTCATGGATGAAGTGTTGCTATGTGCACAAGGAAACACCGCACTGCAGAGAGAGGACTTCTCTCTTTACTGGCTTCCACCCCGCTGCCCACCCCCAGTTTTATGAAGTGCAAACCAGGACCCTGGAGCCTGACAAGGGAAGAAGCTGACAGTTGCTTCCTATACGGCAAATGGACACATTCCTGTTCTAAGCCCAGAATCTTTAATAATGAGATTTTTTTTCTTCTCCTGGAAATGAAAACTCACATCCTGGAATGATAAAGTACCAGAAACATAGAGCATCAAGGACACTGCTGATGCTTGTAGTATGCTCTTCTATCCCCATGCAGGACTTAGGGTGACCTGAACAAAGGCCTCTCGTGGAAGGGCCTTGAGAATGGGCAGTCATTTTTAGCTCCCCATAGTTATCCTTTCTGTCTAAAATGCACCTAGTTGCACAGGAAGTCTAAAGAAGTTGCACAAGAAGTCTAAAATGCACCTAGTTGCACAGGAGAAGTGCACCTAGTTGCAGTATTAGGTTGAGAACACAGAATTGCTTTCTGATAAATGTCTGCAGCAGGAAATCGGATCGTTGTTTCTGAAGACATCTAAAAGGAGTCAGGCGCCCTCATCTCTGGGCCTTCAGTCTGGGCGAGGACTGTTCTGCCTGCACTGAGCTAGGGACCAAATGACTCTGTAAGATTCTTCCCAGGCTCAGAAGTCAAGGATGTGGATTTGGGGACTGTTTATTTCATCAGAACGAACAGAACTATGTCCCTTTCCCTCCTTTGCTGTAAATGTCTCCAGAATCTCTCTCCCCAGCCTTTCCAGCCCCCATCTTGCTCCTCTGCACAACACTCCCTGTTCCTTAATCTCCCTAGCACCTGCGTCTCCTCCCACAGCCACTTTCCAGCTGGCAGCGGTGGGCCTGAAGGGCTGTCAGCTCTCAGTGGACCTGAGCTGAGGTGGTGAGTGTGAATGTCAGGGCAGCCATGGCCCTATTGAGGACAGGGATCCCATCCCCACCCCCAGACCCCCTGTCTGAACCTCCCTGTGCTTCTCTTCACAGAGCAGCCTATCCAGTACGCTCGGTCCACCTGCAAGGCCGGCGTGGCAGAGCTCCACATCCAGGACGCCTTGCCAGAGGATGATGGCACCTATAGCTGTCTGGCCGAGAACACCGTGGGGCATGTGTCCTGCAGTGCCCGGGTCATCGTGCAAGGTAGGCACCCGCAGCATCTCTCTAGACGTACCTTCCCTGCAGTACATCTGCCTGCCTCAGGCAGGCGGAGGTGATGATCTCTAGGAGTTCACAGCAACAGGGTCTGCCATGGGAGATGGACATGCACAGGGTCCCCTTCCTTACCCCACCAGGGCTGTGGGAAGATGCAGGGGTCAAGGCAAGGGCCTCCAGTTGGGTAGGCAGGAGACAGACCTGGGACGAGGACTCACATATGCCTTCATGCTTAGGCTCTTGCTCGTGCATGGGGGCTGCTGGGTAACAAAGTACTGGTATTGAGGCTTCTAAAGGGTCGCAAGTTATCTCCTTTTTTCTGCTGCCCCTGACCCTCCCCACCACCCCAGTGTTGTTTTTGTACATCACCAGCCTGGTGTTCCATAATCCGATTATCCCGGCCATCCCCTGAGCACATCAAGCTCTTAGTCCCAGGCTATCCGGGAGCCGCAGGCTCAAGACATCTGTCTGGGCTGTGGTATCGCCAGGCATGGTGCCGCATTGGGAAGTGTTTCTTGGGTCCAGGGCTTTTAGGTAAGCTTAACTCCTCCCATCCCACCACCAAGCCAACCCCCACCCCCACCTGAGCGCCCAGCTCCTGATGTGTCTGGGGTCTGGGTGCTTTGACCCTGTCTTCCTCAGATGAGCAGGCTTAGGACTCCTGAGGAGAGTCTCCCTAAAACATGAGTGGCTGCCTTCTGGGAGGCCACCACAGAAAAGGGAAAGGGGAGAATCATGTATGGGTCCCTGCTTTCAATACTTTCACCTTATCCATATTTTTCTCATTATCACCCAGATCTCCACAGCCCGGGGTGGTGGAGTATGTGCTCCCCATTTTGCACAGAAGGGTTTGAAGGTTTCAAGGAGTCAACATAATTTGCCTGATTGCACCAAGCTAGTCAGTCACATTGGCCTCTCCACCCTAATCCTGGTGACTCCAGTCCCTGCTCATTCCTGCACCCAGCACCTTTCAGAGTGTGCACCCCCGGACTCATGGGGCATCTGGGGTCCCGTGGGCTGAGCAGTGTCAGCCTCTTCTGCCTGAGGAGGTGACTGATGGGGCTCCCTGAAGCTGTCTGCCAAGAGTGGGTGAACTCCTGGGCCTCCCCAGTTTCTCTGAAATGCCCAGTGTGGCGCTGTTATCTCTGAACTGGCCTCCTCCTTCCTTCCAGGAAACCCTCCACATGCAGAGCCTGACTCTGGTCCTCAGGAACTTGTCCGCCAGCATTCTGCTCTGCATGTGTATTGCCTTTATCCTCATAGATCATTTCATGCCTACTGAGGGGCCTTGGGAAGTTGTGATAACAAGACTTAAGGAGAAACAAGAACAGATCTGAGCCTCATCTTGTGCCAGGGAGCAGCTCTCCCCTCCCACCAGGGAGAACTCCTTGGAGGTCCATATGGCCCACCCCAAAGTCTAGTAACAGGCAGAGAGAGAACTGTTCCCCATGAGTCTGTGGTCTGAGACTCTCCCTTGCTGGCTCACCCAGGCCTGCTACTCTAGCACATGCCCAGGCTGCCTTTGTTTAGATTGAATTAGAGACCCAGCTGAGAAAAGGATCCCCTGGAGGGGGAGGTTCTGAGATCGCATCTGTAGGACTCTCTTCCTTGCTCTGGGGTCTGTTGGAGGATTGGGGCATGTTTTAGAAGTGGAGAGGTCCCTGACCAGAGCTCTGCGAGGGCTGCTTGGATTTACTGAGAGCAGCTCTGCGTGAGTAAGCACTCCCCACCCCCCCACCCCCAGTGTGGGATTTACTGGCCTGTAAAGGCCAAACAGAGGCTCAGATACCATAAATGGTGAAGGAGGCTGAGACGTGGCCACACTCAGGCAGCAGTGTTGGGCTGTCTCACAAGATCGGGGCAGGCCAAGCCTGGCACAGTGACGGCCCTGCTCTGTGCCCCAAGGCACTTGGGAGGCTCAGTCCATGTCCTTCCCCATCATCTGCTGTGGGGTTTTTCTTGCTTTCCTTGCAAATCCTTTGGCTCCAGGTCCTCTGGGGGCCAGTCCTGAGGGTGGAGATACTATAGTAGAGAAGTTTGTTCTCTGCTGTGCCAATGGCTTTTCCAGCCTCTCCTTCAGCTGCCCAGGCCTGGCCTCTCCATGCTCACTGTGGCCTTGGCCCTGACGGGAGTGGATATGGAGCAGGCCGCCTCGGTGTCGGTTCTGCTCCACTGCCCTCTAGCCCTGCAGCTGGGCTGTTATTAACTCTCCAGTCTTTCCCTTTCTCTTCTGTGAAATGGGGCTACTGGTAGTCACCCCTCAATACTGTGAGGGTCCAATGAATAATACTTATAATATAGTTAAAATGTATGCTGTTATGACGATTGGCCAAAGAAGCCCAGACCTTTCAACAAGATAAAATAGTTCAAAATGCCAAGTCTGAGAAGTCTCACCAAAGGACTAGCTTTATCACAGTGGATGTCTGTCTGTTTTTAGTAAGGGGGAGAGAGAATCAGAGGGGCCATGTGGGGCCCTCTGCTAAAATCATGGTCGCCTGCACCCCAGTCTAGGGGCTCTGGACACAAGGGGGCGCCATTTGGCAATGCATCTGCCTGCAGTTGTCTGGTTTCCAGAGTGAAGTGGTTTCTGAGGGCAGCTTCCCCAGAGGCAAACTAGTCCCAGCTTTCAGCAGATACTTTGCTGAAGTCCAGATGTGGGGACTCTTTCGCACCTCATTAGCCTTTTGCCAAGGTTTTGCAACCCTTTAGAAAATTGTTGGCCCAGCACTCTGACATGGGTTCTACAGTCTCCTCCTATGTAACCCTTTTCTTCAAAAATCTGCCTAGCTCCCAGGCAACAGTGTCACTTCCTCTGGGAGGCCTTCCCCAGTCATCTCTGAGTAAATTCTCTTAGCAGCCTGTACCTCCCTTATCATATCATGACTTACCACCACCTCTGTATTGAGTGCCTCCACTACGCCACATGTTGTCCTGGGGAAACTGCAGACACCAGGCCAGACAAGGGCTCTGCCTCTGTGGAGTTCACATCCGCAGTGGAGACAAACAGTAATCAACACCCAGCATAATCAAATCCTCTGTGAGGAGGTGACATTGGAGGAGAGACTTAAGTGAGCTGGAGAAAGTGCTCCAGGCAGGCACCATAGCCAGAGTGAAGGTCTTGCGTGAGGAGCATGGCGACAGCCAGGGTGGCTGGAACAAAGTGAATGGGAGCATCATGCAGGATGCAGAGAAAGCATTTTATCCTGTGCCTTTTATGCTAATTGCTTAATTGTCTTCCCTCCCAGACCATATTTCTCACTGATTATTGCATACAGGAGAGGGCTTGCCATATGAGCGTATGTTCGGTGATGCATCTGCAGACTGAGGTTCGTCACCGCGAAAGTGCAAGGCAGCGGCCCCTCTACATTCTCACTGGCCTGGGCACTTGGTGCTCATTGGCAAGTGCAGGAAATCCTCAAAACTCTCAAGTGTTCCAGCAAAAATTCCTTCTTTATTCCCTTCTCGCCAGGGGAAAAAAATCCCCAATAGTCCACCAGGCGATGAAAGCCTTTCCTCCTGACCCTGGATAGGACCTCAAAGATGATTAATCCAAATTCCACCAGAGCCCAGGAAGATCTGAACAACAGTAAATATTTCAGAGCATTTGGATTGAGCCATGGGGGAGGGGGGCTTCCTTAGCTAGAATGTTTAGATTTATCTCTCCCTAGAGTATCTTTTGCAAGGCTAAAATTCTTAAGTGACTGGATTTATTAACCTGCTAATTGCACACATTTTGACATAGTGTCTCAGCCTAATGGTTTATTTCCTTAACTGTGAACCTGCTGGGCCTATTAAAGGTGCCTAAGGACATAACATGTGGAGAGGTTAAAGAAAAATAAACTGATTTCTAGAATAAAAAAATAAAACTTTACTAAGCACATTTATTAGAATATTTATTTTGATGAAGAGGCCCTAAAGAAAACAATGGATTCTGGTGAAGTCAGCGAGTACTGGCCTAAGAAGAAGGTTCCACAGAAGCAGTTTGTTTCCAGATAGTAACAGGCACTTGTGGGGGCAGCTGGAGCCTCCCAGCACTCCACAAGGCCAGTGTAGTTAGGAGATATGCATGCTTTGGACAGTATAATCTGTCCAGTTGAGGGCAGGTATGGACCCTGCTCTCCTTGAGTTTAAAGGCACCAGGAATTTCTTAAACTTGTATGTTAAAGAGAAATGTATTGAAAGAAAAGGATAAATGTCAGTTTTAACGCATCTTTTTTTCAGAATCTTAGTCCACCCAAAACATCTGTCCAAGTCTTTTAAATTCTAGGAAGGCAAGCTATTAAGTGTTAAATTATCTTATAACCAATGTTTTAGTTTATAAAGGTTGAATACAACAGAATTTGGACATGTGGGTCTTTTGTCACAGGACTTCCAAGTGTATATTCATACATTTGTGTCCCTATCATGGACTGGAGCCTTGTTTTTCTAATTGAACAATGATAGAGATTTATAACTGTCTATTTCTACAGCCCATTGTGGGCCACATCCACCATTTCCTTGCTCAGAGTCCTTGGCCAACAATGATGTGCAGAATTACAGCTTTGTGTTCCTAATGGCAGAATATGATCCCCACTGTGACAGTGTGGTGGAGCATGTGGTTTCCAGACACTCCTCGGAAGGGAACATTGGGTGATTTGGATGCCATACCTTCACGTTTAGAGTTTGATTATAACCTCTAAGGCAGTAAGAAGGCTGTGGTTGCAGTGATCCTGCTTCCCATCTAGCAACCCTGTCATTACTGGTCAGAAATATTTGGGGGGATGCCATTCGTCATTGTTTCCTTGCATTCTTTTCCTTGCACGCTCCTCTCTCCTTTTGCTTCTTAGGTCCTGGCACAGTAGGGGCTGGAGAAGGAAAGCCAGAGAGTAAGGCCATGGGAGGAAGACTCTCCTTTCATGGCACAGAAATGCCATGGCACAGTCGTGCTGACTGTCCAAGTAGATAGACTTTAGCTGGAAGAGAATTTAGACACCTCCCGGAGATTCACACTTGGCATAAATGCCCTGGAAATGAGAAGGGCTGTGCTCCACTCCCAGCTGGGCGAGGTAACCTTCTTTGAGGAGTCCTATAGAATCAACAGTCCTGGAATTTATGCAAGGGAGGAGGCTAGTTCCATGTCCTTGGACCCTGCTGGATTTTGAGCACCAAATAAAGGAATAGGGAAGATAGTGCTTGCAGAACTCCCCTTCAGTTGGTGATTTACTGAATTTCCATAGTATAAGAGAGTTTGGAGTGGGTGCAGTTTGCATTGGAATGTTATTTTGCATTGTAGTGACTAAGCAAAGTAGCTCAGGTTCAAAGCTTAAGGAAAATCTTCAGTAGAGCTACATATGCATTTTCAAGAGGTCTGTGTGTCCATGCATTTGAGAGATTTAGGGAGTAGGAGGCCCTTCCATGTCCATTTTTCTTTGTGACCACTCGTGCCTCCAGGGACACTTCTGTGACACTGAAGGACAGGGACTGAGGCTCTGGGAGTGTCATGATAGGGGTCCCTCTGTTAGGGGAGGGGACTCAGGGGCTCTGCAGATCATGGTTCGGACCAGCTTTATCTTTGTTTTATATTTCTTTGTCATCTGCTTAAACACTTTAAATGTCACATTCCGCAACTTTTGGTTTTAATCTGAAACAAATTTTGAATAATCCAGAAGCCTGCAAAGGCCCTTTTCAAGGAAAACTACTCAACGTACAAATATTTACATTTAATATAAATTCTGACCCAGAAATATGGGGCTTCTCAGAGAGCAGCAGATTGGCTGTAAAAGGTGAAGAGGTTTCTAAGGAGAAATTCAGAATTATTTTTCCTCTAATCCTACAGAAAGGAAAGGAACAGCTCTGAAGGAAAGAGCAGAGTTATTGTAAGACCTGAGATCATAGCCAGCCACTGTGACAGGCTTTGGGGTTCTTAGCCTGGAAGACGTTAAAGTCCTCACTTGTGTCTCCAGGTCTTGTTGTAGAGCAACCCCGATACAAAACGGGGTGCCTGACTGTGGGTCCTCACCCGCGCGCTTAAAAGGACTTATCAATGCTCTACTGCAGGCACACGTGAAAGGTTAATAAAAGGTTTATTTACAAGGGAAAGGGAAATGAGGAAATGTACAGCTCTGGGAGAAAAGTGGGAGACAAAGTTTTAAATGCGTCCTACCCGATCCGCCGATCAGGAATCCCAAAATGGCGCTCTGAGAGCTGGCCGCCAGCCAGGAGCGGTGAAGCCAGGAGGCGAGCGATCGCGAGCCAGAGAGAGAGCAAGGCCCACGTGTTTGGTTTTTATATCCAACCTGGCTGCCCAACTCCACCCTCAGGTCCCAGCCACCCTCCCCTTGGTGGTGATGGAATTTGTCTTTCCCAATGTCCTAATGGCTTTAGTCTGGAGTGGGGGTGGGGTCCACAAAGCCTGTATGAGATTATCTCAGGACATCCTTTCCCCCTAACAGTCTTAGGAGCCAGTTGCATAGGTTATATATAGTATAGGAACTAATGAGAAAGGTAATAAATCATTCCTGTTATGTGGGTAGTTAACTTTCTCTAAATAAGAGCTTTTCAAAATATAATATTGGGTTAGTTCCAATTATGTGTTTTAAACTAAAACCCCTAGCAGTTAGTGTTTTTAATGAGAAACACTGTTTTGATGGAAAACAAATCAAGTCTATTAGAAAAACTGATTTGTTTTATTTAATTCCCATAACTCCACGTTCCATTTTCAAATTAACTCCACTTTACAGAGGTGTAAAGTGCTCAGAGGTGAAGTCAGCTGGCCGTAATAACCCAGCAGCAGCAAGGTCCTGCTGCTTCAGCCCGTGCCTCCTCTGGGACCCTGATAAGCCATTTGGTTGATAGTTTTGCTTCAGCGGAGCAAGAATTTAATGTTAAATTCTTAACGAGGAACTGCCGTGAGTAATAGTTTCTGCTGAGTCAAAGCAGAACAAAAAGGAACGAGAAAGAAAAATGTCAAGGAGGGTCAGAGGCCAGAAAGCATGTCCCTGTCTCCTTCCTTTCCTCCCCCAGGCCCCCTCCCATATTCATCCTCTCTTTTTCCCTTTTCTCTTTGCCTTTCTTGAGTTTTATTGACAGCATTCATCTGATATGGCATTACTCTTGCTTGTCAATAAACTGCTTTACAAGTATTCTTAATTTCAATTCTCATCTTTCCCCAGGGAGGGACAGGTCTGATCCTTTTCCTTTCCCTCCAGACAGAAGTGTGCGCCTGACAGCTTGCTACTCAGTTGAGTTATGGGAGTGAGGCCGTGAGTGAATGGAAGTCATTAGCCGATGGACCAAGTATGAGTGCAATGGATCAGTTCACTTGAAATCATTACTCCATAAGCCAGTAAAGCAAGGAGGCTAAGCCCTTCCTGATTTCCAGAAAGAGGGCCCCCTCTGCGCATGGGCTCAGCAGCCACAGGAAGCACCACTATGGGAAATCCAGGTATAAGGAGCCTGGCCCCACTTCAGCTGGGTAGCAAGTCTGTCACTGGGCTCCAGGTACCCCCTTGATATTTGCATCCCCAAATAAAGAAAGCTCATTTTCCCTAAGGGACCATTTTATTGGGGGGGGGGTCCTGCCTCAGATCCTGGCCCTCCTACCCTTGCCTCAAACCATAACTGGTGCCCCTGGGCAGGAAAAGAATGATAGAATGCTCTGGGGAATCTAGATGAGCAGCCTCCGTCCTCAGGACAGAGGAGAAAGCCGAACCCAGGACCCCAGGGACCACGTCAACCCTGAGATCTAGGGACAGACCAGTTTCTCTGAGTTTGGGATCTTCCACTGTAAAAGGGGACACAGTTTGCCCTACTCAACTATGCCAAGGTAACACCAGTTTAACCACGGACACCCTTCATAATGGTGCAGTGCTAAACTTTGTTAAGAAATTATTGTTCTATGATTATCTTAGAGGCAGCTGAGATAACTCCCATTCAGACCTCTGCCTGATTAAATGTGAACATCCTGGTTTGGAAGACTTTTCTCATTGCAGTTATTGTCAGATTGCATTTTCTCAACCCCCGCACCCCCAAAATTGGTTGGGTTAGAAAAGGCACAAAGTATTTATTTTTATACTATTGTGTGCTCATCATTGTCCTAGCTATTTTAAAATATTATTTCTTTTAATCATCTAAAAACCCTGCAGTATTTATCATTCATTATCCTGATGATAGGTACATCTCACCTATCAATATTGTATTATCATCAAAAATTGATGGTAACTGTATTATCATCAAGTTAGAGGAGAGACACTGAGGCTTAGGTTGGGGAACTTGCTTCAGATCACCCAGCTAGAGCTGTGAGTCCAGAGCTCCAGTTTCCATCCGTCTGCTCTAATTTTGTCTAAGTCCACACAAGAGTGAGCATAAACTGATGCATACTGTGTAAGACACAGATGCACCAGAATAATTTGCTTGCCTTTGGAATTAAATGAAATGCACACACATGCAGTTGCCCTTTTTACCTGGCTGCCTCTGCTCTGCTGTAGCTTCGCTCCCTTGGCAAGGGTCTCAGCTGTGGGTCAGTAGACAATGTTGGTCTTCATGGAGAGATCCCCATGGGTACCACTGGAGAAGCTGGTTCCCTTGGAAGAGATTGGCCCCCAGAGCATACTGGCCTTGCCCTCATAAGGCCTGGGCGTGCACTCCAGGTCTGCCTGGGACTGGCTCTGTGACCTTGGACAGACCATTTCACCTAAGTGTGTCCTATTCCTGGCCTTTCTTTCAGAAAAGGGGAGTGCTGAGTTTGCCCCTGGGGCTTCAGGGGCAAACTTTCTTGGGCCTAAGGAAAGCCACTAGCCCAAAGCCAAGATCCTCACTGGATCCTTAATCCCAGTACGGTGTGTTTGTAGGGAAGGTTGGCTGGTTTTCTCACCCCATGAAGAAATCAGGGATGACTCAGCCATTCTCTCGGCTCTGTTCACTGTCCCCCTACATGTCCCCAAACCACAAGTCTGATGACAGGTCAATTTTGCACATTTACTCTGTCAGGTCCCTCCTCCCTCCATTCTTGCTGCTGGGCTTTGGGGAAGAAAGAACAGGGTGAGAGATGAGGGGGGACACTGGCACTGAATGCCCACCCCAGGGTGTGTTCCCACAAATACAGTCACTCTCTCTTCTCTCCTACAGGGAGTGCAGCACAGGTTTGTTTCCAATTTACTTTAGATACATCCCATGATATGTTTTAGCAACGCTTTGTCTTCCCAACAGTCTTTGCCTCAGGTTACATAAAAATGAGTCTGTAATCCTTGGGTAAGGGCCCAGTCTCTGTTCTTTTCCTGCTGATAAACCCACCAAGTAATTGAGCCCAAGTGAATAGTGTGAGTCAGCTCGCGTGCCAGCCTCACACGGAGTTATCACTGATAGTGATGAGGCTGTTGAGCTAGAGAGAGTGATTATCCCCGTGTACAGATGAGGATGCTCAGCTTCAGAGAGGCAGGGTCTTGCCTGAGGCCAGGCCCCGACCTCACAGCCAGGATTTCCAGCTGCTGCGTGGGAAGCAGTGCCCAGGCAACCTCTCAGAGAGGGAAGTGCAGATAAGCTTTTATTCCCACTGACAGCAACCCACAGGATGATGTGGCTTAGCTGAAGTCCCAGGCCAGGAAACCAAGAAGTGGGGAGACCCAAGAAAGGTTGGGAGGCAGAAAGGAGACCACCTCCAGTTTGAAAGAGAAGGATCTGGAGTTTGTGATGCTCCCATAGCACCTAGGAACAGGAGCCCATCTGTGCAGAGCTCTGTCATGCTGGGCACTCTGGCTGAGACAGCCAAGAGGCGGGGAACAGGGGGACTCTGGAGATGAGAAAACATTTTGTCCTCGAGCTTTCTCAGTCTGTGCAAGACAGGAAATTCCTCAACTCTCCTGAGGCAGCAGGCTTTCCTGGCCACTGCAGCCCAGCCAGAGAAAGGAGATCTATGCATTTCCAATACTGTCCCCAGTCCTTCCCACCAGCCCACTCCTGGGACCTTCTGCCAAGACCAGGACCACCTGGTCACTCCTCTGTCAAAGGCAGATATGCTGGGCCTGGGGCAAGCGAGAGCGGGGCCTGAAAGCCCATCGTCCCTCATGGAGCCTGGGGGTGGCCCACCTTGATGGCTTTAGGCCCTTCATACTTCTCCTGCCTGGGGCTAGTTTTTCTCCCCTCTTAGGGGTATTCCTAGCCTCTCCCCAGCCTCATTCCCAGAGGCTACACAGAAGAGCTCTGTTGGGGGCCATATTTTGTTTTCAGTGACAGCAAATTTAGAGATAGGCCTTCCTCCAGTGTGTAAAGCACCCTGGAAATGTGCCCCCTCAGCTCAGGCTTCCTGGAGAAGATCTGTATTTGTTACATCTGGTATTTGCTGTAAGAACACAAAATATCAGAGTCCCTTTTCCCCAAAACTTAGAGTTGAAGTTAAAGTTAAGTTATCCTAGCCATCTCTGCTCTTACTTCTAGCCTCACCCAAAGACAAAAACAGAAAAGCTGAAAGGGAATTACAGAAAGTCAAAGCTATTACCTTGAAAGACAAAGGGCAGGGTCAGAGACTGGTCAGCCAAGGTTGTCCTGAACAGAGGAGGCAGGCAGCTTAGCTGCTTTGCTGTCCCTACCCCTTAGCTCACTTGGAACAGGTCAGGGCCCAGCTTGGGGAGATTCCAGGAATAATGGAAAGCCTGTTTGTTTACCCACCTCCCCCAGAGAGTTGAATAGGAGTGAGTGGGCCTGCCCTGAACCCAGAGTTAATCCAGTTTTTGGGTTTTATTCTCTGGTATGTTTCCTCCCTCTCTCAGAGTGATTCCCCCTCCAGCTTGTATGAAGGTAATATTGATGTACAAAAGACTGCATATATTTATGGTGTTTAATTTGAAATCTTCACCACAATTTTAAAAAATGAACCTCTCCATCACTCCCAAAGGTTTTCTCACACCCCTTTACAATCCACCCCGAACTTCTGCCCCCAGACAACCACGAGTCTGCTTTCTATCACAGTATTTTGCATTTCCTGGAATTTGTATAAATGGAATTATCCAGTATGTATTCTTCCTTTGATTTCTCATTCAATGTATTTTTTCTCAAGATTTTTTTATTTATGCATATAAGAGCTGGGGCACAAGCCAGAGATGCCAGGGTAGGAAGGTGAGAGGATCCACCAGAGACAGAATGGGGAACAGAACAGGCAGACTGACTGAAACACACTTCTGAGGGGAGCAGCGGGCGAGACATGTGGGTTGCTGCCTGGCCAGCCGGGGATCGACCTCGCTACAGAGGCTGCGGATTGCTTCATAGTGTGGTGCTTAACCCCTTGCGCCACCAGGGAGGCCCTCAATGTATTTTTGAATTTGGTCCCTTGCTATCACATTCTGATGTTAGCCTATTCCTTTTGATTGCAGAGTAGTATTTCATTGGCTTTTTAAATTTGTTTATTGATTCACTTGTTGGTGGTCATTTGGGTTGTTTCCAGTTGGGTCCCATACACTGTTATGAGGGTTTATGTACAAGTCTTGCATGGATATGTGCTTTCATTTCTCTTGTGTAAGTACAGAGGGGTAGAATGACTGGCTGTTATGGACAGTGTGTGTTTAGCTGCATTTAAAGAAACTGCGCAACTGTTTTCAAGAGTTTCACCATCTTACACTCTCACCTACAGTGTGGGAAGGTTCCAGTTGTCCCACTTCCTCACCAACACCAGCACCTGGATGATGAGTCTATAATGTTAGACATCCAGCTGAGTGTTGTGACTTTGTCTTTCTTGAGGTATTTAAAGCCAGGCCCTGTTCCCAGTGGTTCCAGGACCTCCTCAAACTCCTTATCTGTGAGCAGTCCTTTTCTCGTGGGAACCTGAACCTCTGTGCGGCAATGTGCCAAGTGGTCATCTAGTGTCTGTTCAATGAGTGAGTGAATGTTCACCCCATGCAATTTCTGTTTCTGCCACGCAGAGAAGAAGAGTGACAGGAAGAGTGAATACCTTCTGTCTGCTGCTCCCAGCAAGCCTGTTGTGCCCCAGTTCCTGCAAGGCCTCTCTGATCTCAGAGTTATGGATGGAAGTCAGGTCACCATGACAGTCCAGGTGTCAGGTGTGTCTCTGCATCTCTGTCCTCGGAGTGTATGTGAAAACGGGCCTGGGTCCAATGGGGCATTGCTCCCTGATGTTCTGCTCAAATCACGGATCCACCCCCAAAATCAGCATGGGGCTGTCAGTGGATCCGAAAAAGAGGAGTCTCTTGGTCTCTCTTTTCTGCTTTCTCTGGCTTCAAGGCTCAGTGGTCCAGGGGAAGAAGATGACCAGAGCTAGAGGTGTGAGGGATCAACTTGAAAACGGTGTAGTTGGTGTAGCCTAGGATGTTAAACCCTAGGACAAAACCAGATGAGGTGAGAACTCCTACTTATCACAAGATTTTCTCAGTTGCCTGTCAAATATTAAGATGAGAAGATGGAGCAGAGGTCCTTCTGAAACAGGAGCTGGGTGACAGGATCATGTGACTGGCAGGCCTTCTGAGATACATGGTCCTTGCTAGGAGCCAGAGAGAGAAGCCTGGGGAGTCTACTGGCACAGACTTGCCTACTGGAGGCCATGCCTGGGGCATCCAGAGTTTCCTGTTCAATGCTTAATATTTGTCCCTTTGACAGTCTGCAGGTGGCTTTTCGGAGTTTCAGTTCCTCTTGAGCCTCAGAAGCAATGAGGATGAGCTCTGAGAGAACCCATGGCTCATCTTCTCGAGGACCGGATGAACTCCTGCTCCCACAGGCAGGAGGGCCCCTGCCCCTGTCCATATGTACCATTCAGCTCACTGAGTCCTGAAGTTGACTGCAATTGAGGTGGTCTGCCCCCAGCCTCCAGGAGACCAGTGGAGGTCTCCTCTCTCCTCAGGTCTCCAGCCTATGCCCCCCAGCCTCCCTGAGCACTCATCCCAAGGGCTCAGCTCTAGGCAGAGGAAACACTCACAAGTAGCCATTGTTTTATGTCCCCACAAATTACCAGAAGCCACCCAGGAAAACAGACTAGCAAAAAGCCAAATCAAAACCAACAAGCAACTATAAACCAGAGACACACTACAGGGGGGACAGAGGGAGTAGGATCAAAACAAGGGAGGGGTGGGAATAATATGGGGACTGTAACCAAGATGAAAATGCATACATTGTGCAAAAATGAAAAATGATGTAAAATATATATAAAATTTAAAAAATAATTAAAAATATGGGGGGAAAAAAGCCAAAAGTGAAATCCACCAGGAACCAGGGTCTGAAATCCGATCATAGCTGGAGTCCACCTTCACCCTTACACGTTTGTATGGTAACAAAGTGAAATGGAAACAACTTTTTTTCCTGGGGAATATTCGCACAGGGCCACTGTGTGGTTACCATGGCCTTGTCTCAAAGCATGTGCCCAATGAGGCAGCACAGAGCCTGAGGCCTGTCCAACGCAGTGACCTGTGCCCACTCAGTATTACCAAGTAGTACAAACTCAGATGTTAGCAACCATACTTCCTGCATTTTCTTTTCCATCCCTGAAATCATATTTTTAAATTTCTGGATGCTTTCTGTTTTCCCCAAATCTGTTATTAAGTCATGATAATTAGAATAAACACGCATTAAGTACTTTCTTTGTGCCAGATGCTTTGAATAGGCTACTAAGGGAGACTTAATAACTCATCTGATCCTCCTAAGAAGGCTCTAGGGTAGACAGAGTTAAATTCATTTACATATAGGGAAACTGGAACATAGCAAGTTTAATAGAGTATTTGCTACAGTGTCATAGTAGTCAGTGCAGAGGCACTGCCTGGTCCTGAGGAGCTCTGCCTGACCAGTTCTGCTGTCCTTCCTCCCTTTCAGGGAACCCGCCCCCTGAGGTCATCTGGCTTCACAACGAGAATGAGATCCAGGAGTCCGAGGACTTCCACTTTGAACAGCAAGGCATTCAGCACAGCCTTTGTATCCAGGAGGTGTTCCCTGAAGACACAGGCACTTACACCTGTGTAGCCTGGAACAGTGCTGGGAAGGTCTGCACCCAAGCCGTGCTCACAGTGCAAGGTAAGGTCAACCAGGTGACCAGGGGTGGGCCAGGGCTGGGAGGAAGTACCCTGGTCTCTCCAAAAGCAATCTGGGGAAACCACATGAGGCTGCTTTGCTCCCACCAGACCTGTGCATCCTCCGTCCCATCACAATCCTGGAGACCATCTCCCTGCCCTACATCGCAGGCTTTGAGTGGGACTGCCCTTCCTTGCCTTCTGGAGCCCCTGCCTTTTCTGGGTTGCTGATGACCAGCTGCTTGGAGCACTAGAAGACAATCATTAATACACTTAGTGATTTGGCAGTGATAGCTTCCTATTCCCCCCTGAAACACAGACACAATAACCTATAAAATCACACATAAAGTGACAACTCTAAATCATATACATCTGATATAGATCATTGCTGCCTAGGTCAGGTAGCCTTTCTGGGCTCCCCATGCTTTGGATATACAAATTCATGGTAATAATAGTCTCCAAAAGCAAGACAGATTTACCATGAAGGGTGTGCCATATTTGTATATCTAATAAAAGTGTTTCTAGACAAGCTTACTTTCTGGAAAATCTTAAGACTTGCACTGTCGTGGAGAGTTGAGTGGGTGCAGTCTTCTAAAGACCGCCCCCCCACTCAACCCTGTGCCAACTTACAGAGCCTCAGAATGGCACCCAGCCCTGGTTCATCAGCAAGCCTCGCTCGGTGACAGCCTCCCTGGGCCAGAGTGTTCTCATCTCCTGTGCCATCGCTGGTGACCCCTTTCCCACCGTGCACTGGCTCCGAGACGGCAAAGCCCTTTCCAAAGACACTGGCCACTTCGAGGTGCTACAGAATGAGGATGTGTTCACCCTGGTTCTAAAGAATGTTCAGCCCTGGCACGCGGGCCAGTATGAGATCCTGCTCAAGTGAGTCTGCATGTCCTACCAACTTCCTGCACCTCTACCCCCTAAATCCCTACCTCCTATCAAAGTCCCTACCTAGAACAGGAAAGCCAGAGGCGGTACTAAAAATTGTGGGACTTGGGCTTCAAGGTAAAGAAAGGCCAGTCTCAGTGTTTTCATCTCTCCCACTGCACACTGAAAACCTGCTCTTCTGAGCTCAGTCCCCAGAGTCTTGTGCCTTATGACATCTGGCCTTTGTTCTCCCATTATTTGGTGTGTGGGGGGATATGAAGGAAGGAAGAATGGATTAGAATTGGAAAAGCAAGAGGATTGAGGGAATGTATTAGTTATCTATTGCTGTGTAGCAAATGACCCCAAAATATAGTAGCTGAAAACAGTTTTGATTTCACAGTGTCTGTAGGTCAGGAGTTTGAAGTAGCTAAACTAGATGATTTTGGCTGAGGGTCTTAGGTGAGCTCCCAGTGAAGTTGTCTGCTGGGTTGAGTAAGGCTGGAGGATCACTTCTAAGGTGGCTCACTCACAGGGCTGATGGCAGGAGGCTTTGGTTCCTGGCCATGTGGACCCAGCCATGGACTGCCCAGTGTTTTTAGGGTAGCTGGCTTCCTCAGAGCTGGGATCCAAGAAAGAGTGCAAGGCAGAACCTACATGTCTTTTATGACCCGCCCTCAGAGTCACATCATTATCTCTCCCCTCTCAACTAGAAGTGAGCCAGTAAGTATAGCACACACTCAAGGGGAAGAGGAATTAAATTCCACCTTCTGGAGAGAAAATAGCAAAGAATTTGAAGGTATTCTAAAGCCACCACAGGGAGTTGAGTGACCCCACTCCTTTTTTCAGTCCCTCAAGGTCTTGCTAGGTCATGTGGGATGTGATGCTTTTAAGCGCCGTGAAGGCATGCTTCTGTGCTCCTTGTGCCTACTACCTGTCTGGCCCTCAGTCAGCATTTGTTAATTCAGAAATGTTCTGCATTTAAGAAGAATCTCATGCCAATCCTGGGTTTGACAGAGAGAAAGCGCCAGCTCCTAGGGTTCGTAGAAGCGTTGAAGAGCACGTAGCTACACCTCGATCTTGCACATCCCCAAGATCATCAGACCTGTCTTAGCTTGGGAAGGTCCAACCATTACAACTTGGCAATTGCTTATGCTCCCATGGGAACCATTTGCCCATGCTGAACTTATTAGTTTTCTGAGCTGCCACTAGGCTGGCGCTGCATGCCAAGGCTACTGCTGTGATGGAGCATTGTTCCTGCAGCAAACACTAAACCCCATCCTTTCTGGGCATGTGCTTTATACTTTCATCAGTTTGTTTTTGCTGTATAACAAAACCATCCCCATATTAGTGGCTTTTAAAAGCAGCCATTTATTACCTCTCAGGAGTCTGTGGCATTCTGCTGATCTGGGCAAGGCTCGCTGAATCTCAGCTGAGCTGATGATGTGTCGGTGGTCAACTGGTGAGATGGTTGTGGTCTGGCTGGTTGTCCTAGTACCACTGGGCTCAGAACACACCAAGAGCTCTGCCTTGTGCACCAAGCTGTTGTCATCAGGAAGGCACCTCCACCTCATAAATAGAGAGGAGATACACACTTCCTCTCGTGGACCAGCACAAATAGTGACTGGTTATGTATGCGTGAGAATAGATGGCTTGTCCCCATGGAAGGAGTGGTGCTTTGTACAATACTTGTTTTCATCAAGCAGACATCCCAGAAGAGATGAAAGTTATGTGGAAATTTGAGGGAAAAAGAAAGGCTGAGACTTGGTCAATGAATAGTAAAGGCTTGGCTGTTGAAGGCGTGTTGGATAGGCTGCAAAAGAGGGTAGGGGAAGAGCAAATGGAAGGGCGGCGGGAAGCCCGCCAGGCCAGAGCAGAGGGCTGCGCTGGAAGGTCGGTAGGCAGACTGTCTGGGGCCAGTTGGGGACAGTCATAAAACATAGACTGTCCCAGCTGGAAGGGACTTCAGAAGTTTTCTAGCCTCCTTCTCTTTTATTAATGGGAGAAACTGAGGTCTCAGGGTCACAGACTTGCTCATGGTGACCCAAAGGCGAGCAGCAGAGCCCAGCCTGAAATCCTTCTCCTGGTATTCAAATCACATGCACTTCCGTTCCTTGGTTCTTTTTTTTTTTTTTTTTAAGATTTATTTATTTATTTATACAAGCACCGAGTACAGTCAGAAGCGCGAGAGGGTGAGAGAGAATTCACCAGAGCCAGAGCGGGGATCAGAACAGGCAGACTGACGAAGTACACTGCTGAGGGGAGCAGCGGGCATGGCAGGAGAGGTCTGCTGCGCCACGTGGGACCCTCGCCAGTGCCCGGGGATCGAACTGGCGCTGTAGAGGCTGAGGGCGGCTTCACAGCCCAGCGCTCAACCACTGTGCCACCGGGGAGGCCCCGGTCCTTGGTTCTTCCGAGTGCACTGGGAACTTGGGGGAACCTGGGAAGCTCACTGGAATCCCTCATCCACACAGCCCTCACCCCTTTTCCCTCCCCAAAGGCCAGCCTCTTCATTCCCTTGGGAGGTTGTGGCCTGGTCTTGGCTTTGTCCCCTGCTGAGAAGGAGTGCAGCCATGGAAAGTTCTCCTGGACCTGTGTGCCAGGCCTACCAGGGCTCCCCCACCCCCAACTTTTCTCATGACAGAAATCAGACCTAGATCCAGGAGAGAATGTCTTTTAGGGAAGAAGACTGGATGGCTGGAGGAAGCAGGGTTGGAGGCAAGATGGGGCAGGTTCTCCCTGTCCCTGCTAAAGTTGTGGGGTAGATACAGGTGGGTAGTTTCTACCTCTCGACCCCTTCCTTAGATCTTGTCTTGAACTAAAGGGAAAATGTCAAAAAGTCAGCTCCAAATTCCAGCTGAAATATTTGAAAGATTGATGATACTTGCTGGGAAATTAGTTCTTTAAACTAATTTTGCATCTAAAATCCTTTCCAGAGATGGATGATTCAGAGTGGGACAGGGTCCAGAACTTTGTAACCAGAGTGGGCTTCTTATTCAGATCTTGAGAGATGGGAGCCAAAAGAGCTCTGTTAGCTTGTAAAAGGGGCAGCAGCTTTCAGGGTGGTAGCCCCATGTTCTCTGTGGCAGCATCTGGGTTGGATGTGGGGGTAGAGGCCTCAAGCTCAGCCCCAGGCCTGACTTTGTTGTGAGTATGTACAGACAGCACAGCTGACGCCCAGTCTGCCTGACTGTGGGTCTAGGCAACAGGCCCCTCTTCTCTAATCTGTGGGTCTTAGGCAACAGGCCCCTCTGACTTTTGTACGATCTGAATGAACTCATGATTTGCCTTAAAGGCCCAGGAGAGATGTAAATGTATGGCTGTAGAAATAGCTGCCCCAAGGTCATCCCCAGGGGTGATCCACGGCACAGGTACCAGTCATGCACCACTAGTTCTCCACCTTCCGCCCACCCCCTCCCACTGCCCAGGCTCCTGAAGGTGAGGATGGACGTGGGTGGAGCAGCAAGCAATGGGAACAACAGAAGCCCTTACCTGCTTCCTCCGTGGGGAAACAGAGCTAACCACCCTCAGGGGACAGGGTGCCCCACCATTTAAAGCCTCAGTGGGACTTGGTTAAGGTAAAGCAGGGCCATCTGGTCTGTGTCTGCTCCTGATTTCTGCATCTGGGCTCTGTTTCTACTTGTGACAGGAGGAAACTCAGCTGAGCAGTTGAGAAGGGCTACTGGGAAAACATAGCCCTTGGGCATCCTGTCCTCATGCCCAGACCAACCTGGGGGGCACCCCACCCTGTTTGAAAGAATAGTGGGAAAACTATGGCTTAAGGCTACCAGCAGCCTGGCAGGAGTGGGGTGTCAGGAAGCTGAACCTCACACCCAAATGACTCCTCATGGTTATTCTACAAATTGACAGAAGCCCCACAGCCTTAAGTGTTGAATACTCAGTGCCGAGGGCCTTCCAGCCTCCCCACGGCCTGGCACGAAGGAGACACCTAAGGACTCCTGGGTGTTGCTGGATGCCAGTGTCAGACCCGGAGCTGGCCCCCTCCTGGGGGGTAAAGTAGATCTGCACAGGCATCCGCAGAGCTACATGAACACTTGCTCAGTTGTCTTTCCAGGTGCCTGGTTCCCACACATGGTCATGCAGGTGACCACAGGGTAGACCCCACATGGGTGTGTATCTGTGCATGTGGATGGTACGTACATATGCATGAAGACACACACAAGCCTGCACATAGCCCAGAATACATTTGTATACTGATAAGCACTGTGGGATGGGGTGGGAAGGGCACAGGTCTATAATTACAGCAGAACTGGGTCCCAACCCCTCTTCCTGCTAGTTACCTCTGTGAACTTAGGCAAATTTCTTACTTAGCCTTTCTAAGTTTTATTTATCTTACCTATAAAAGCGGTGCTGATCCCGACCTCATAGAGCTATCATGAGAGTGAGTGAGATGCACTATGTAAGGACCCAATCAGAAAGTTTGGCACATCTGTGGTAGGATCTGACACACGTGCAGGCCTCTAACCTGCTGGGGCCTGTTGCCTAAGACCCACATCCGGAGAGACGGGGGCACCCAGCACTGCCACAGCTAACCCCCCAGTCTCCTTTCCTCCCCTCTCTTCAGCATCAGAGTGCTCAGTGCCTCACTGGGATGTTGTGGGTGCAAGAATGGCGTGGCTGTGGCAGCCGCTCCAGCTGAAGGTACTATTTTTGCTGGGTTTTGGTTATTGTCATGAAGAGTGGCCTTGGGCTCAGGGATCTGCCCTCCTCCCTTCCCCTGAGCGGTCAGGGCTCAGACACGCCAGCAGATGGCAGCCTTGTGGGGCGGAGGAAGGAGTCGCTGTTCATCACTCTGCACCCAAGTGTGGCGCAGCCCCTGCCCTGAGTGGAGGGCGCTCGGCTGCCCTGCACCATGGGAGATTGAACAGTATTTACAGCGGCTTGAAGACCCCAGAGCCTTCCCCACCTGAAGGAGAAAGAGAAGGGGCCACCTGTGTGTGGGGGCGCATTTTAGGTTTTTGATTTAAAAAATTCTGAACTAGGGCATTAGCTAATGGGTAGGGATTGGAGGGTGTTTTCATGTCAAGAGTAGCGGGGCAGCGGGGAGATCACATTCGGAGGGACATTGTGGCAAGAGGGAAGTAATCACCTCTGTATTAAGGAAGCACGGGTCAGACTGGAGGTCTCTGGCAGGACCCAGACTCACAGACCAGGCTGCTCCACCTCCGCAAGTCTGGTCTTGACTCTTCTTATATTAATAGAGCGACTGATTGATAGTGTTATTCTTATAATATACTTACAGAAACTATTCCTGCTTCTGGGCCGCCAATCTTAGATTTTGTCCAAAAGAGTCTTCAAAAAAAAATTTTTTTTTTAAATAAGAGCTGGGAAAATAAAGAGTAGTCAGGAGTTGGGAACCCTGCCCTAAATCCAGGTCCAGGATATATGTTTCAGGGTCACAGCTAAGCCCATGGCCCCATCTTCTCTGGCAGCCACCCAGCCAGCCTGGCGCCAAGACCATGCTCACCCTGCCCTCTTCACGGCCCTAGGCTGAGTAGGCCCTCTGCCCAGAGAACCCCTTGATCTGTACTGATCTTTTGAATCTTCAGGAACCAGGTTGGCGAATGCAGTTGCCAGGTGTCCCTGATGCTGCAGAGCAGCCCTGCCAGTGCCCTCCCATGGTGAGTGCCCCCCAGGAGCTGCCCAGTCGGGCCCTATGCCACTACCCACCCACCTTCCTCCTGGCCCCTGCAGGCCACACCAACAACCCCAGATTGTTTGTATCCTCCAGCTAAGGCTGCTTGAGCCAAGAGGGAGAGATTGGAAGGGGAACAAGGGAGGGAGAGAAGGGGAGGAGAAGGGGGTGAATTTTTTTTTTTTTTGCATACACCCTTATAAGGCTACTGGAGTCATTACCGATGTAGCAAACCAACTAAGCAAGCAAGCGTCTCTCACCAATGTTCCCTTCTATAAACACCGCCTGGCCAGCCCCCACCCCTCTGCCCCCCCTCTCTATCCTCCTCCCTCAGGGATTTGCTCTCCCCTGACGTTTCTTATCCAGCCCCTTTTCCTCCTGCTACTTTCCTTTTTCCCTTCACTGGTTGCAGGGGGAGGGAGCCTGCCAGCTGTGCGGGCCTCTGTGGCCGAGGAGCTGGTGCTGATGGTGGTGGTGGTGACTGCTACGGGACCCTGAGGCCCGGCTGGCCAGCAAGAGGGCAGGGTTGGCCAGAGGAGGACAGTGAGGACGTGCGTGGGGTGCTGAAGAGGCGTGTGGAGACACGGCAGCACACAGAGGAGGCGATCCGCCAGCAGGAGGTGGAGCAGTTGGACTTCCGTGACCTCCTGGGGAAGAAGGTGAGTACCAAGACCTTGTTGGAAGAAGACCTGAAGGAGATTCCAGCCGAGCAGATGGATTTCCGCGCCAACCTGCAGCGGCAAGTGAAGCCAAAGACTGTGTCTGAGGAAGAGAGGAAGGTGCATAGCCCTCAGCAGGTGGACTTCCGTTCTGTCCTGGCCAAGAAGGGGACCCCCAAGACCCCTGTGCCAGAGAAAGTACCAGCTCCAAAACCTGCCACCCCAGATTTTCGCTCAGTGCTGGGCAGCAAGAAAAAACCACCAGCAGAGAATGGTAGCAACAACGCTGAGGCCTTGAATGCCAAGGCGGTAGAAAGTCCCAAGGCCGTGGGCAACGCCAAGCCTGCTGAAATCCTGAAGCCTGTGGGCAACACCAAGCCTGCTGAGACCCTAAAACCTGTGGGCAATGCTAAGCCTGCTGAGACCCTAAAGCCTGTGGGCAATGCTAAGCCTGCTGAGACCCTAAAGCCTGTGGGCAATGCTAAGCCTGCTGAGACCCTAAAACCTGTGGGTAACGCCAAGCCTGCTGAGACCCTGACACCCATGGGCAATGCGAAGCCTGCAGAGACCCTAAAACCTGTGGGCAATGCCAAGCCTGCTGAGACCCTGAAACCAGCTGGAAAAGAGGAACTCAAGAAGGAGGTTAAGAATGATGTGAACTGCAAGGTAGGGCATGCAGGGGCCACAGATAATGAAAAAAAGACAGAAAGCCAAGGAACAGCCCCAACCTTCAAGGAGAAGCTACAAGATGTCCATGTGGCCGAGGGTGAGAAGCTGCTCCTCCAGTGCCAGGTGTCCTCTGACCCTCCAGCTACAATCACCTGGATGCTGAATGGAAAGACACTCAAGACCACCAAGTTTATCATCCTCTCCCAAGAAGGTAATGAGGAATGGGGGCGGGGGGGGGCCCTCTGTGCCAGGGCCACATTCAGCTCATGGGATTTGGTCTTGCTTGATCACTGCTCACAGCCTGGAGCTGGGGGAGAATGCGCAGCTTCTGTGCACCCTTCCTCCCAAGGTCAGTCCCTTGCTTAGGGTCCTCTGGCACACAGTCATGCTTGGGAGACAAGGGTAAGAATGTGGTCCTGTGACACAGGCTCAGCTCTTGGCATCTGTTTGGCAGAGCCCGCTCATATCACCCCCGGCCAGGGCTCCTCCAAACAGACGTGAGCCTTGGCTTTGCCCCATAGCTCTGGGTCCCTGGCTTAAAAATGGGGTTCCTGGGGCTGGAACTGACCAGAGGCTCTGAGCTACGAGCTGCTTTTGCAGCAATATTCTAGGTCTGGGGAAGGGTGTACAATGACGGGATGACACAGGACTGTGACTTGGGATCAACAACAGTTTAAGCCGCAGTAACATTGTGGGTTTGAAGGGACTTGTGGGGAAAGCTAAAAACCCCGAAGAGCCCCTACGGCACACATACTCACAGGCAGACAGAGCCACTCGCTTCCTAATTTGGATGAGACTTTTGTTTGCTGGTATTTCACATTCTTGGGTGGTGGGGAGAAGGGGGGGCCCTAAATCCTACCATCTGGGACCTCTGGGGGGTCTGGAATTCTTAGATGAGCCAATTTACACCTAGAGAAGAGATGGAGCAAGAGGGCCATTTCCCCTGGATCCTCAATCTGGTTTGAAATGTTTTTTGTAAATCCCAAGCCCAGAAGGAGCTCCAAGGCCAGCAGGCTTCCCACACCCCACTCTGGTGGCCTGCTCCCCTCTGGTGGAGACATAAGTTGTCAGCACTAGAATAGAGTCTGGTCTGAGCTTGAGGATGGTGCTGGTGACTCTGGACAGGGCAGGGTACAAAACTCCCTGGGAAATGGCATTTTACTCTTGAGCAGTAAAGGGCCGCCATAGCAGAGACCCGAGTGGACAGGCCCTTTCAAACAGTGACAGATCAGCTGTCACTGACACTGCCCCACTGCGCTGTTTTCCTGCCCATCCTCTGCACCCACTCACCTCTCTCACCCCTCATCACTTCCTTTCCTCCTCCTCAAGCCCAGAATGAAGCATTTGAAGTTAGTAGCAACCCTCTCAGCTCATGATCAAGTTTCTCTTTTCCCTCTGTGTCCCAGACAGCAAATCCTCAACAGCTGAACGTTTTGAATCTAAATCTGAAGGAGTATAGGGGAGACTGGCCATGAGAGAAATACTTTCTGCTCATGTGTTGACATGATAACTTTTTTAACCTGGATATCCCCAAATTGGCAGGGTCCTCCAGAAGTTATCTTCTCCATCCCCCTGTCTCTGGGTTTCACACACAGATGGGACTGGAGGATTAATAACCATGGTGGAGTGAAATGCCTGGGGGGAGTAGGTGCCACAGTTTCTGTGTCACCCACATAGGCCCCTCCCAGCTGGAAAGCCTTTGGTAAGACAGATCCAAAACCTTGACCTATAATCTTTCCCAGGTTACTCTGTGCCGATCTCTCTGGGCAGGATGGAGGGTGGGCACCTGACATCCTTGGCACATGTGCGGTCACAGACCTGCACAGTGAGGTCCATGACTGCACCAACCTCAGGGAAACTGATGTTCAGAAGCTGAGGGCTGTCCCTAAGCCTGCACGGAACCTGAGCCAGTAGCTGCTTGTGAGCAATCTGCTCAGCCAAGCACTGTTAACAGACCTGAGCCCTGGGCTCAAGAGCATACCTGAGCTACGAGGCACCACCTGCTCTCCCTTGAGTCTGTGTCTGCTGGTCAGTGTTGGAGGGTGGAGAGACCCCACTACTCCAGCATCGCCTCCCATAGACACCATCTCAAAAGGACAGTTTAGGTCCAAAGCAGAGGAAGAAGAAATGATTAAAAGGAGGAAGGCCAGCATGAGGAGAGGAGAAACAGACTGACAGGCGGGTAGGAGGGGGTTATGAGGACAGCCCCAAAGCCAACTTAAAAAAAAAAAAAAAATACCATTCTCCTTGAAAAGTAAGTTTACATTTTTGAACAGTGTGTGTCTGACACTGTCCTAAGCATCTTACAGGTCTCATTTACTTAAACCTCACTGCTATTATACTGCCCATCTAACAGAGAAGTACCTGGCCCAAGGTTGCAGAGCTCCTATGTACCTGAGTTGGGATTTGAATTCAGGCAATTATTTCAATGTCTAGGACACTATACCATGTTACCTCTTCGTTAATTCTTGTGAATATGTCAGCTTTGTCAGTCAAGGGAAAATACTCCTGGCTATTACTCCTCAACACTCAACAGTTGTCAAGAGGCTGTAAGAGCAGCGGTGCCTTGAGCTTCCCAGGTTTCTGGTATCTTCACTGCAGTGGAGAAAGCAGACTGTGACACGGGCCTGTCTGCCTTGCTGCTGTAAGGAGAGTGCCTTGTCAAAATCTCACCCCCACTCTGTCGCTTTCCTTTTTCTAAAGCTTAGTTCTCTAAGTCTTTAAGAGGCTGGCATTGAAACATGGGCCCCAGTAGGAACTTTATCTTAAAGCCTTATCACTTGCACTTCAGCAGCCCCACTGCAGAGGACAGGACACTCTGAGGGGTGTGAATGGGTCTGCTCTCAATAGATCTGGAAGGAGAGGATACCCACTGGCAGTGATAAAACTGTTCCTCCAAGTGCTGCTGGGAGGAGGAGAGTGAGCTGAGTGCCAGGGCGCAGGGAGAGGCTATGGTGAAAGAACTGGGCCTTGATCTGAACCATGAAGGCAGGCAGGATTCCTAGCAGGAAAGAGGGGTGGTAGGGGCACCAGCACCAAAGGCAGCCCTGCTCCCAGCACATCTGGGTTGGAGAGGGAGGCATGGCCCCATCTCCATCCTATATCATGCTGAGGAACTCAGTTCTAAAGGCAATAGGGAATCATGTAAAGTTTTTGGATGAGGACCAACGTATACAAATCAGGGGCTAGGGATTTTGATTGACTCTATAGCCAAAGACATGCAAGGGACCTACTGCAGAGGATGGGGAGAAAGGTGTTGGGGCTCGGACTAGTAAGATAGCAGTGGGCACAGAGAGGACATAACCAGTTCAAACAGCAAGGGCAGAGTTCACAGAACCTGTTGCCTGGCTTGGAAGTGCAGGCAGGGGTTAGGGCAGGAAGGTAAAGAGGAAGGAGTGGAAAACACTGAGTGTCAGTGTCTAGCTGTCTGGGTTCACAGCAGTGGCATCACTGGAAATAGGAAGCTGGTGATTTGAGGTGGGCTGTAGGGAAGGTAGATGGTGGCTAAGGAGGTCTTTCCATTCTTCACGCCCCATCCAGCATCCTCTCTGTTTCTGCCCCCCTGATGCAGAACACTTCTTGCTTCGCTGAACTGAACCCTATTCTGTCATGTCTCCTAAGATCAAGAGTCCTTCCTCCAGAACACCCTCCAAGGCCTTTATCACTGGTCATTGGCTGCAGGAGACCCTTGTACACATGCCCCCATCGACATGTGTATCTGTGTACCTACAATGGTAGGCATCTTTTTATAGTTTTCACAGGGGCTTCTCTGAGACCTGTGGCTTGGCTGGGACCCAGCCCAAAGGTCCCTCTCCTGAGATAAGATGATGTCAGCCCCTTTTGAGTGAAAGTGGTGCAACGGTGGGTTGGAGTTGTCTGTTAGTTCTGGGAGGGGTTTGTGGAGATGTGCTTCCTCTTCCTGAATCCCCCTGCATGGACTTTCCTTTCCACTCTCCGGGCCTACTGGAGGCCCTGTCTGGACCTCAGTCCACTGCCCTCACTGCGGAGTGGACAGTGGGAGCCAAGGGGAGCCTGTACTGCTGCTGAGAGTGCTTTCATCTGCATGCTGGCTTCCTGTCTCCAGCCCGGCCTCTTTTCTGGCATTTCTCCCAATCTAGCAATGAGGATTCATTTTTGTTGCTATTGTCAACCAATGATTCATTTTTAATTGCCTGTAGTGTGTGGGATCCTGCAAAGGTTTTTTTTCAAAACATTCTACAAAACACAGTGCAGCACCTACTCTATGCAAGATGAGAGTCTAGCCCTCTTGTAGGATGCAAACTCCGCTCAAACACCCAGCTAGGATTTTTTTTCCCTAAACTTTACTATCTTTTTTAGTAGTAGGTTGTATTTGATTAAATGTTTGTGGCTTTCTCTTTCGTAGGCCCTACCAAACCACCTGCTGCATAAATAGGCCTTGGCCATTTTCAAAATGGCCTTTTTTTTTTTTTTTTTTTTTTTTACTGTGACTGCATTCCAGGCTTAGGAAAAACAATTCAGAAGAGACAAGGTCCGTCACTGCCCTCTAAGAGTGAGCGTGGGGGACGGGCATGTGTTTCAGCAATGGCCTTGTGAGACGTGCTTTCATCAAGGTGAACTCAGGGCACAGAGGAGGTTCACATGGCCTGGGGCCTCTAGAGGTGACATGGCAGACATCATCTCTGTGGGGGCGACTGGGAGCTGCGTCTCACTCCCCAGACTTGTGTTGCACAAGGTCAGGGGGACAGTGCTCAGCCAGGGCAGCCTTGCACAGGGTCTCCCTCCCACTGCGCACACCCTTTCCTCTCTCTCCCCACGTGCTCGGCAAAGGAGAAAGGTAGAGCATTTTCAGACTCTATGGCCATGAGGAGCTCTCCAGAGACAGTTCTGGCCGAGTCAGTCATTGGATTCTTGGTTCTGTGGTAACCGCTCCCATCCCCCTCACCTCCTGCCCAAAATTCCCCACCAGGCTGAGACTCTCAAAAAAAAAAAAAAAAAAAAAATGCTGGGAAACGGTTTTCCTTCTGGAGGTCAGGAATATGCTATCCCACAGGAAATACCAGATTCTTCACTCTGGGCTAGCCCAACCTCCAAGCCTGCCTGGGGGCCCTCCCCCAGCCCACTCATGCACATGGCCAGGGGTCCAGGCTTTGGGTGGCTTGGAAAAGCTGGCTGCTCTGGCGCTTCTCCTGGGTCGGGGAGCGAGCGAGGGGCCAGGGTGAGGGAGCAAGGGTTTTATCTTGATACTGCACTTCTCCCTGTGGTCTCACCGTAGTCTTTGCAGTCTGTTCTGGTTTGAGGCTAACAGCTGCTGGGGACTAAAATAAAGAAAGTCAAAGATTGCAGCAAGGATGTTCATTAGGAGCGGGGAATCTGCCCCCCACCACAACCTTACCCTCAGTCTGAGGAAAAATTGCAAGATGGGGTCCATTTCCTCCAAGCCTGGAGTTTGGAAACCAGAGGTCACACAGCCTTCTGCTGCCCTCTCAGATGAATGGAAATTTCTCTGTTCAGAAGAGCATTACCCTCATTGCCCATTCCTGTGCACACGGTTCTCATTCTCATAATGACTTCCCAAAAGTTCAACCTTAATCCTTTCTGTGGCAGTTTCTGCAAATGCCATCTCCTGACCACAGTGGGAAGAGATGCTGCCACATTGCCCTCCCCTCCCCCTTAGGTTTTTCCTGAGAGGCAGGTTCTATATGATTGGGAGAAGGAAGTTGGTACCGATCACCCATCCTGCCCCAGGTGGCCAGTAGAACTAAGGTCTCCTCTGTAAAGCAGTACTTGGGTGCCGAGAAATAAGGACCTCTCATGCCTCTTGTTCTCTTCCAGCCTTAGTGAAGTTTTCTGGGCAGAACTGTCATCATCCTTCCTCTGTCTGAACATCCTTGTATTTGTTGGTCAGGCCTGCATATCTATCTAATGGGGGTGGGGTACTTTGAGGAGCAATGCCTGTTGGCCTTCCTTCTGGCCTCGCCCCCCACTAATGGATACAGCTTTGTCCATTCTGGGCTAGTGACCGGGCCTGTACTTGGAAGCTGGGAGAGGGGGTGGCCAAAGCGTTGGCTCTGGACAGCAGGATGCACATGGCTCAGGATGCAAGGCTCTGACTCTGTCCTCCTCATTGGTGACTGCTGCCCTGACGACGGGGGCAACTTTGGGCAGGATGCCATGCTATTAGCCTGTTTGTGTGTCTGAAGGCAGGAAATCGGGGACTGCTGTCCGCCCCCACCCCCTCCCGCCTGGCTCAGCAGGCTCAGTCCTCAGCTGGCCTCTACACACACCCCAAAGGAAACCTTCCAGAGAAGGAGCCAGGCCTGGGATATGAGAGCTAGGATGGCCAAGGACCAGACCCCAGATTTCTGTGTGTGCCAATCCTGGCTCCTCTCCCCTCAACCAAACAAAAAGAGGGGGACTGGGATAAGGGTAAACCTGGGCGCTGGTTGGGGGCAGAAGGCCACTCTGCCCCTCTCTGTGGTGACTAAAAGGCCCTGCATTAGAGGGAGGCAATCCCAAGTGCCCCCCTCCCAGCCCAGTGCCCTCTCTTGGCCACCATTGTCAGCTCAAATACTGTTCTGGAAAAACCAGCTCTGGAGTCACAGGCTATAGTCACCTCTTCCCAATATATCTTCCCACAGGCCAGCATCATCGCTAGGCAGAGACTTCTGCCCTCCCCTTCCCACTTCTTTGTCCAAAAGTCCCTTATAGCATCAGTGCTATAAGCTGGGCAGAGCTTCCCCACCTACCACTGTTCCTCACACAGTCTGTACACCGGTGCCTGGCACCTGCTTATCTTTCTTAGTGACAGCCCCCTCTCTGGGGCCTATGACTATGTGATCCTTCTGTGGTATTGGATATTCTCCAAAGGCAGAGTTTATTTCTCTGCCTTCTGTACTTTTTCATTATGTCTTCATAAGAGAACTCTCTTATGAGTTCTCTCTCAGCCTCCTAGGGTACCAGGAGGGGGGATATTTAAGGACTTAGGTTATTGGCAAGGAGGGTTAGTTCCCTCCAGGACTCCCAGCAGCTTCCCAAGTGAATAACACCTGCTGTGCTCTAGGAGCCAGGTCGGTATTACATAAGGCCACACTTGGGCCACTCAACTGTTCTGCCTTTTGCTCCCCAGGCTCACGCTGCTCTGTCTCCATCGAGAAGGCACTGCCGGAGGATAAAGGCTTATACAAGTGTGTGGCCAAGAACGCCGCCGGCCAGGCTGAATGCTCCTGCCAAGTCACTGTGGAAGGTAGGTCATGCCCACCCACCACTGCCTCACATGGAGTCCCAGTTCTCAGCCTGCCTTGCCCACCAGACCTGAACAGAACTGCATCTAAGGCTGTCATTCACACCCAAGGCATTTATTTTGTGGGTGTCAAGCCATCTCTTACAAAAATGAGACAGGAAGGAAAGGGGGAGCCCTGCTTGATGATTTATGTGGTCTCTCAGTCCTGCCCCACCCCAACTGGGAGGCAGAGCTGCCACCTTGTCGATTCCCCCCTCCCCAGCCCTAACCCCTGACGTGAAGAACCTTGCTAAGCAGGAAAGCCTGGGCACCAGACAGGAGGAGAAAGGACACACCCACAGGAAAATGACCACATAGTGTCTTACAAGCCACAACAAAGAAGTGTCAGTGCTGGCAGCACAGACCAAGAGGAGAGAGCAGAGTGGGGTCTATGTGGGGAGACTTCCTGGAGGAGGTGAGTTGGGGGCTGAGTCTTTGGGGAGAGGGGAAAGGGCTGCCTTTACAAAAAGAAAAAAAGTAGTAATGGTAACAGAGGGAGAGGAAGAGACCTGTGGGAACAGAGGCCTGCCTGCAAGGCCGTGTGCAGTCTCCCCATGAGGAAGGGGCGGCCCCAGGCTGGAAGGAATTGGATTTGTCCTCCAGAAAGCAGGTGGTATATTTGTGATTCTTTTTTCTCTCTTCTATGTGGAGTTTTAAATTAGAGACTGGGGGCCTCCCCTGGTGGCGCAGTGGTTGAGTGCTGGGCTGCGAGACTGCCCGCAGCCTCTGTAGCGCCGGTTTGTTCCCCGGCCGCCAGCGAGGGTCCAACCAAAAAAAAGAAAAAAAAAGTAGAGACTGGGAAGTAGAACAAACCTCTGATGGTTTAGGCTCTCACCCTCGCTTTGCAGAAAGGAAAGGTGTCCTGCATGAGGCTCCCTGGCCCACGAGGGCCCAGTCAGGTTAGGAACTCCTGGGCCTCACATCCCAGTTCCTTATTATCTCATTACTTGCCTGGAACAGTCTAAAAAGATGGTTTGGGGGAAGCAATTTCTTGCCCTAGAAATGAATGTTTAGTAACTATTACTGACACGTTTGAAACTAGTGCCTAAATAAGGCAACTCAAAGGCTAGCTCTGTTGTTCTGACTAATGAATCTAATCACTCGGGTTCAAAAATCCTAACCTGTTTTACTGCTGTCCCACAAGATCTTTGCCCCCAGTCTAGGGGCAAAGTCTATTTCTTACAGGCCACATTTCACTTCCTAATCACAAAAGCTGATATCTATGAAACTAAATGAAGAATGAAGAAAATGAGAAAAGAAGAGGAAGTTTTAAAAAAAATCTTTTAAAACACATTGGCAACTCAAATCGAATTGTCAGCAGTCGCTGGGAAAGCTGAAATTGTTGTTGATGCGTGTGTCTCCCCAGGGTTCAGTGAATTTGTATTTGCCACGGGAGATCTGAGTGTAAGGGAGCAGATTTGATGGGTCAAAGTGTGTGGTCGGTTCAAAGAGCGTTTGAAACACGTTTTGAGCCTCTGCATAGGTGTGTGTGTATGACCCGGACTGTTGCCAGGTCAGAGCCCAGTCTCCTTCTCTACAGGTGCTACAGGTGAAAAAACAGACCCTAGAAGTCTATTTCTTACAGGCCACATTTGGAACCCATGGTTCCAGCCAAGGAAACCCGCCTGCTAATGAGGCTATCTGATTTTGGGATACCTCTCTTTTTTGAGTCCTATGTACATGGCTAGCTGAAGGCAAGACAGCTGTTCATTCTCCTTATCTGCAAATGTAAGCACCTTTTGGAGAAACAACAAATGGTTTATTTTAATACCAAGCTTTGTTTGGTTTCACTACAGTGTACTTTTTGGGGAACTGATTCTGCAACTTACAGGCCTTTCGCTCATACATTGCTCTCCTTTTAATAGATTGCCTTGCTCTGTCCACTAATCTTGGTGACCATCATTATTTATCTTCAGTTCCATCAAAGGGATCTCTGCAAGTTTTAGCCTCTGGCTGAAAATTGGGAGCAGGGCCTTAGGAGAAGAGCTAGTAAAGGGATCGAGGGAGGCCAGCTGAGATAACAGAACTGACTCTGAGTTTTATTTTGTTTGGTTTAGTTTGGTTTTTTTCAAAGAGAAAAAGGGCAGCCCCATTAACACCCATTCTTTTCCCTGTTGCTATTCTTGGGGATATGCTAGTGTCCTGCATGGGGGCGGGCTTCTTCCCACATTTAACTTTATTAGCTCTAGCTAAACAATAAAGGACTGCAGTTTCCTTTACTACTGCTTGCCCAGTTTTCAGACCTTTTCCCCTCTTGTGCTCCACTTAGCTGGTTGGGTGTCATGTCTTCATTCTGTCCCTGATTCTCTCAGCTCCTCCCTACTCCCTGAGGCAACAGGCCCTAACTTAGAAATTCCAATGGGTCCCTGCTTCCTTGAAATTATCAGCCCAAGTTTGCAGTCTGTGAATTAAACCATTTTTCTGAAAAGAGTGTCTATATTTTTTCATCAAATTCTCAAAAAGGATCATGAATTAAAAATCTATTGAAGAACAATTTGCCCTGAGAAGTCCTCATGACTGAACTTTCAAGCCCAGTCATGTGTGGGTCTTCTAACCTCTCACCATCTACAGCTGCCAACAGCCTCTGGACAGGGTCGAGCCTGTATCCCTCCCAAGGAGAAGTGAGGTCCTTGTTCACTAGAGCTGGAGACCACAGCTGACCCTGATGTCAGGCTGGCTCTCCATGCCACTTAGCAGGGCTGGTCCTGCCTCCTGCCAGTCACTCACTGTCACGCAATTGGTGCCAAGTGCCATTAAGACCATATATCTGTGGCCAACATAATGATAGTTCAAGACCTCATAAACATGGCTCTGGAGCATCGATGGTTCTATATCAGCCACACTATCGTTTCCCTCTTAAAGACAAGGGAGGTAGCCTGTATAAATGCAGCATATATGGCTATTTTAATCATGCTGTTTGGCTCTTTACCCTATGAAAAAGAAAGCTGTCTTATATACTGTCTTGATTCTGGTCTCACCTTCCTTCCATATATAACAGAAGGCAAGAATCACCTTGTGCCACAGAAAGAAGCCTTGAATGGGTGAGGACTAGCCAGAAAACTCACCCTGGAGGAGAAAAGGCTGACCTTCAATGGCTGCTGTGGTCATTTTTAGTTTATCCAATAGCTGGGCAGAGTATCAGTCTCAATGAGAAAACTCATTGTGGATCAACAGCTTTTCAGGTCTCCCAGACAGTAGAAGCAGTGTCACTGATTCTGAAGCCCCTCCCCTCTGAAACCACCCAGCACTGGCATTTACAATGAGTTACCCTGGCCAGACCAGAGTCCAGTCTTATTCCAAAGCCTACACCTTCCCATGGCCAGTGTGGCCTCTGTGCAGTGACTACCACGCAGCATCTACTCTGAATGATTCCTGTCTCCCTTAGAGAATAATGCCAGCCCTTCCTCCTGGGAAGTCCTTCTACATATCTGCTCTGACTGACCCGTTTCCTCTCATTTTGACCTGGTGAGAGTTGAGGAAACAAAGCCCTTCATAGGCCAAAATTCTAACATAAGTTAGTGCATTCACTGACTTGTCCAGTACTTCCTAGACCACCCTTCCCCAGCCTTCCTGGTTGAGGGCATCTGACCTCCCTGCCAGTGAGATCAAGGGCTTGGTGACCATGAGGGCTGAGCATTTGTGTGGTAGGGGGCTATATGCCAATAGGCACCCACGCCATTATTCACTCAACAAACACGTGAGCCCACTCATGCAGGCCCTGCATCAGGGGCTGAGGTTGAAAGCTGTGAATAAAACAGAAGTTCTTGCTGTCAGGGACTTTACATTCTAGTGAGGGAGAGGTACACAGATAAGCAGATAAGAACACAGATAAGCAGATACAGGATATAACCCCAGGTGAGGTCATGTGCCATGATGAAAGGGTAATAGGGGAAGGAATGCCGTGGTTGGAGAAGGTGGATGTGAGACTTCTCTGAGGAAGTAACATCTGAACAGAAACCTGAGGGAATTGAGAAAGAGCCCTGGGAATAAGAAGGAGGAGGCAATGGTGAGAGCACAGCCTGAGCTGGCACTGTGCCTGTACCACTCCCTGAGTGCCAGAGTGGCGGAGCTGTGAGCAAGGGGCAGAGTGGCAGGAAGTGAGGCTAGGGAGGGCCAGCGAGAGGATCTGCCAGGCTGTGTACGCTGAAGAGGACACTGGACTTAATTCTGAGTGTGGTGGGACAACGCTGGACATTGTAATGAGTCGCTCGGGAGGCTGTGTGGCAACCAGACCCAGGAGAGGTAAAAGGAGGAGCAGGAGATGGGAGGTGACTGCCCGGGCAGGATATGATGCAGCTTGGACTCTTGGAAGTGGTGGGAAATGAGCAGATTCAGAATCTCTTTTGATGGTAGAGTTGATGGAATCGGTTGATGTACTGGAAATGGAGGGAGAAAGGGAAGGCAAAGGTGGCTCTTCATTTTCATGGGGAAGCACAGATCAACGGTGGTACTGCCTACTGAGACCAAAATGCAGTTTCCAGCATGCAAAGTCGAGCTGCCTGTCAACCATTCGGTGGGCATAGCACAGAGGTAGGCGTTTAAGTGATTCTGGAGTCAAGGGAAGTCTGGGTTGGAAGGATACAGGAACCCATACACATATGCGGCCATTTGATGCCCTGGGATTAAATGAAGTGGATGTGGCTGGAGAAGGGGAGGAGGCAGTGTAACAGTGAGAATAGAGTGGGGCAGAGGCTTGCAAAGGAGTCTGGGAAGGTATGACCTCTGCGAGACAGGAAGAAATCCAGGAGAGAGGAGTGCCTCAGAAGCCCAGGGGTGATCATACGGATAAGAAAGGAATGATGGAAATCCATGTGTAGATGCTGTTGCCAAGGAGAGTAAGGAGGAGACTGTGCACTGGCCATTGGGTTTGGTATCGTGGGGGTTATTGGTGACCTGACAAAGGAGTTGTAAGGGTTATAGAAAAAAACTAATTTGAGGTGTACAGAGACTGAGTTGCCTGTTGA